TCGGGTTATACCATATCCTCATATACCGTACTCGCGCGATTAGAGCCCTCTCTTGAATAGTGCCCTATCTCGAAAAGTGCCCCAGTCTCTAAAAGAGCTAGTGAAAAAATAAAGCCCTCTCTTGAATAGTGCCCCCCCCCCCCCGGGCTTGTAACCAAGCACATGTGTAAGTTTGGTGTTCTTTTGCTAATGTTCTTGTCCAATTCATTGCACTGGTGGTTTCAGGATCAAAATCGCAGTTCTTGTTGCCCTTTCTGTTGAGTCGTGATAGTTTACAGTACACTTTAGGCTCTGTTTTTCTTCGCCGATGATTCTTCGGTTTTATGCTGGACGACGTAAATGTAGTACCAGCATTGAAAAAATAGTGCTCTCTCTTGAATAGTGCCCCATCTGTGTTGGACATTGAAAAAATAGTGCCCCAGGGGCACTAATCGCACGAGTACGGTACATGTAAATCCATCCTGCTTCGCAGTCGGGATTTATATTCAGCCGGTATAACCCTCTGACTGGGGTTATATATATATATTATCCTTTACATGTCAACAAACAATGGATCACTCGTATTGTTTTGCAACTCCGAGTTTCATGCACCGTGTGCAATCATCAGGCAAACAATATTCAATGCATAATGGGAATTTAAGGTGGATGCAGGCGGAAACAAGTGTAAGGCTTAGCGGGACCCCTGATATGAAATCAATGGGCTAACTTGCCGGCTGGGAATTGTGTGAAGCTGAGTGCTATATTATTAGGGGTCAAACGGGTGTACCGGGTACCCGGGTACCCGCCCGTTAATCTCAGGTACCGTTAGTAAAAGGGTACCCGTTTGTTAAAAAAAAAAAAAAAAAAAAAAAAAAAAAAAAAAAAAAAAAAAAAAGGTGATCCTATCGTATTCCAAGACTCAAAATAGGAGTGCGGATACTCTTTTCCTTTTTCCTGTGCATTCCCGCTTTCGACTTTATCAGGCAGGAGCAGGCTGAAAGACAGACTTGACAGTTGTTCTCTCCACTCTAGTGCAAGTAAAAATCCTCGTACTGGAGGTTTTTGATTGTGATGTGAGAAAATGCAAGACTTGAAACTCGTTCGAGGTGGCAGCTGAGTAACTAGAAAGTTACGATGGTTCTCCGACATCGAACCTGCCACAGTACTTGATGAACTAGTGTCACCAGGCTGAGTGACCAGTCGGAGTGTCACAAACGGTGATGTCCGTAGGTGGTAGCTACATGTATGATACTTATGGTTGTAGTTTGTTCCTTCAATCGACGAGCTGAAAAGTAGTTCGAAATATTGCATACAAGATTACGGATTTGTGAAGATTCATTTCACGAGTTCAACAAGCTAGCACTAGCAGCTAGCTGGCCAGCAGCACATCAGCTGTGTCAGGCACCCCAGCTAGCTATGGGCGCGAACATCTTCTGAATGCAACGAGTACCAGTTCTCTGCGAACATAGCAAATAGGATTGCGTGAGATCACGGAAGTTTTGCTAAACCACTCTGTCCTTGCATGGCTTGAATCACATCGATCTGCAGTTGATTTGCGTAGTGTATCAAAATACATGTAGCTTGTAGGACCATCATTCTACATGTACGATTGTAAGTTACTGCCTGTGAAGTTATGTACATGGGCAAATGCACGGATGACATTCATTTGGAACCTTCATTGCCATAATAATATTATGATACACGAATCAATTGCGAATCATATAGTCCATCAGCCAGTGGTGCCAAAGTGAGTCCCCTGTTGCACTTACAAATCGAACACCTGGAACTGACATCAATCGACAGCAAAAGCATCACTGAATCCAACCTGCCTACTTTCCCTGGCGAAACTCTTGCACTCCTTTTACAGTGCGCCTTGGAAGTTCGACAAATTTCTTCTTCTTCATCAGCCATTACGAGGTTTTCCATCCGTTTTATCAGGACATCCAATGCGTCTTCAGTGAAAAACGTGGAGTTTTGTCAACGTTTGGTGTGGTTTTCCGTGGCGATCGACCTAAAATCGCGAAATAAATCGCCGTCGATTTGAGCAGAGGTGAGTTGGCTTGGAGCACGTACAGATTCAAAAAATATGTGTACATGCGCACCGGGAAGAAGATGAAGATGCTCACCATTTTCAAATAACTAATTCAAAAACTACATGACTATTGGCAAGAGTGGACTCTTGCTATTGTACTGCAATTGTTGTAGTTACTTGTTTGCAACTACAATGGTATCAAGTAGATAATCAAGCGAGGTACACAGGGATTGATGGCTGATCAAAGCCCACTGAAGGGACCAGCCCGAGGGCTTTGATCAGTCATCAAGCCCGACTGTACCTCGCTTGAATATGCTTCAGACGATCCCCAACAATTTTTTTGATTTTGAATTCAATCGCTTTATTCTTTGGGTGATCTCGAGTGTGGTAGATAGTACTTCGAAGTAGCACAACTGTAACTGTACTACTACCTGGTTGCAACATGTTCAAAGCAGCCTTGCCATTATTTCAACTGTTTGCTGTCAGCATCCAGAGCCATGGCGTTTGCTAGTTGGTCGTAATGGAGAAGAGAACTGCAGGGCATTCACTCGATGTACAACATCCATCGCCGCAGATTCCTTACTTTTAGCTCTCCACGTTCCTTATTTTTCCAGGGATCAGGACCTTCCCGGGGTGATTCCATTCAGGGTGGAAGCGTAGATCACACTTTTGTCAAACAGTAAAAACTACGCTTCAAACCTGCTTGACATGGCTCGGGGTGCACACTTCGGAAACCCGAAGGTGGATGATGTTCAATACTAGCTCATTGTAATCTTCCTGAAGGTATGTATTCGGATGCTCAATTAAATAGAACAGTGAAAGAGATGTGTAATGGAACAACACTCTACAACTTTAGTTTAGGCGAACAACAATTTTATTGTAATTTGAATCCAGGCACACGTGTAATACGGAAACTGCAATGGTTTACACTGCAAATCTTCTCGATTTGCAAGATTTTTCCCGTAATTCACAAAAATCTGAAAGTTCATTCCTGAAACGCGCATGGCACTGATTGGAGATTGGGTTTAGGGCACAACAATGGCTGTCGATGAGATGCCAAAAATGGTCACTTTGTCGGCTTCCCCCTGCAGAGCGTGCAAGTCGTTTACTCTTTTTATTTGCGGATTCGGTGTACAGGGTACCTAACCTCCCCATTGAGGCCAAAATCAAGTATTCGATTTCTAAGTGCAACAGGGTGCTTGAATTTGACGACTTCTGAGTTCTTGGCTGATGGACTAATAATGTAGTATCAAAATACAACCTGAGAATATACAAATTAAAATCATGATTTATGTGAGAAATGTGCAAAAAAATAATATGGCTGCTAAAGGGTACCCGTTAACCCGCCCGTTAAGAAAATTACCCGTTCGTTAGTTAAAGGTACACCCGTTTGACCCCTATATAATATTATCCTTTACGTATATACGGAGATTGCATTGATGTATGTACGGACGATTTTGGCAGTGTCCAAATAAATACAGTTATAGTACTGCATGCTTTTGCCACGTACATAGTCTTGCATGTACAAACATTCATAGGCACACATATACACACACACATTTTCACCAAATTAAGACCATTTCTCTAGGTCCCTTTTCGCCCCTGGACCCCTGGCTTATTGGAGGCCCACTTGTGTGCTTATATTTTTTCCGCCAAATCTGGTAGCATAGCATTGGGCCCCTTTGGTCATTCTCATCACTGTGATAGTCAGTATTGTAACAGTGAAACCGGTTAGTCACGATGAAACAAAGATTATCTGTTTGCTTGTGCCGGGGGCTCTACTTTCCTACAAGTAGTATACTGTGAAATTACAGCAAGACTGTATTTTTGAGTTTATCGGCAAAGTAGAGATGAAATTTGAAAATGCGCTTAACTGAATGTCTGAATAGCCTTCTCTAACTTCCTAATAGTATGCATGAGCTTGCAGGGTGCCCGAAACCCGGCCCAATAGTGGCGGGGCAACCGTTCGACCACTACTTCCTATAATCTCAATTTTTCAAATGTTGTCCAAAAGTAAAAATGAGACCATGAAGTCAGAGAGGGTTCCGCTCCAGAGATTCACGGGAAAAAAGCATTTTCAACTTTCATCTCCACCTTGCCGACAAACTCAAAATGCGGTGAAAATTATCCCGAAAAAGGTTGTACCGCCCCAGCCACCTTAAAGCGGGATTCAGAGAAGATTTTTTTGCGAAGCTTGATGCGACGACCGCAAAACCGGGAAATACCCAAATGGCATCCATCCGGATATATCCCGTAGCAGAAAAGTTGTAAAAAGGGGTCAAGAGTTGCTTGTAGATTTGTAAAGGTTGTACCTAGCCACGAGAATACCGTAATGTCACGTATCAAAGCCGGACTTTTTTCCTGTAGTGGTAGGCTTCCATTTGAGCCAGGTATTTCTATGTATGTCAACACTAAAACCAGGCTTATGTGCCACCAGCGCATCTTGAAAATCAGGCTTCTATGTATGACAGGCTATAATACAAGACACTACTGTGCCATGGTGACGTACTCACCTGCATTGAGCTTTGAGCCAAATCAACAAGGCGATGTTGCATCACCGAATTCTTCTGTGAATGGTATTTCGCGAGTTCGCAATGCGCATCGCAAAAATGCTTCCGTGAATCCCGCGCTTTAGGATGCGAAGGCATGCATTCAGTCATGCCCCCCGCCCGCCATGCTTGAACAGGCCAGGCCCTATACTGTAAACTCACTTTTTTTGGTAGGTTCCGTTTGGAATGCCAATAAGTTAGATTCCACATTGGTACTGAAAATTAGGTGGCATGTGCTTTTTCGCACCTCTCAGTCTGTATTACTTTTTTTCTGGCTGTGAAATTCCTATTCATGAGTGCACACTCCAGTGCATTCAAGTATCGGAATGGTGAGCATGCACTTGACAGCACACTAGTGCGGATATCCGCTACACAATAGAATATAGGGCTCAACAACACGAAGTAAAAGTGACACATATCCAGTTGGCCCGTTGACGTACATTGTGGCACAAAGTTCCAGCCAATTGCAGAGAGCACGATGCTGGCCATGACAACAATACCATAGTTGTTAGGTGGAGGAGCCATAAGACATACTGTTGATAACATTGTCATCAAACTGCAAGCTGATGCCACGCAGACGTAGTAGTAGAGGATGTCTGAAAAAACCAAATGAGTTGAGAAGCATACAGTTACACTTTGCACTGTATCACAGTGTCACATCAGGTAATTAAGGTAGCTCAGGCGTATATCACGAAAAAACCACTTTCTGTCCGATTTTGGTCAAACTTAGTGCGATGCAAATAGCAAGAAAAATTCAATCATCTTTGGGACAATTTTGATTATAAATATTAAAATTTCAAAGCATTTGGGCACCATATCGAATCGGGGTTGGGAATACCAGTTTCGTCTCCTTACACAGAAGCCTGTACTTTCAACCAGTGTATTTTTGCTGAAAATCTACCTTGACATGTTCTGATACTATGGGAATTACTGACATGATCACATGAAGCAACAGATGATGGTTGGAAGCATTTTATATATTTTTATTGTTCCCGTAGCTATGCAGAAGACGTTACTTCAGTAACGTCTGGCGCTAGCCAGGGTCCACACAGCTTTAATTTGGTGTTTGTGTGTTTGTGTGTTTGTTTGTTTGTTTGTTTGTTTGTTTGTTTGTTTGTGTCACGCCTGGCGCTATCCCGTATCTGTCCCGTATCGGTCCCGTATCTGTGACTACAAAGGCTCTACAGGATTGTACATAACAGCTGTCCACAATATTTGCGGGCTCCTGTATCTGTCCCGTACCGTACCAATATTCGTCGTATTATGCATGGGGAAAGCCATCCTCTCCATCACGAATGACGAAATTCAACGTGCAGCCGGAAGTCTCCAACTATGTGCTGGCCAAGACGGAGGTGTGGAAGCAGCCATTCACGCCATGAATGACCTCCATCAGCTGGATGACACGGAAGCAATCCTACTGGCTGATGCAACTAATGCGTTCAATTGTCTGAACAGAGAAGTATGCATGCGGAACATCCAACACACCTGCCCGTCCTTAGCTCCGACAGTCATCAACACATACAGAGAGCCGGCCAATCTGTTCGTGAGCGGTGAGTGTATCAAGTCCAGCGAAGGTACCACCCAAGGCGACCCGGTCGCTATGACGATGTACGCTCTCGGTGTTCTCCCCCTCATCGAAGAAGCAGCAACAGACGGTGCCACGCAGTCTTGGTTTGCGGATGATTCTGCCGCAGGAGGCAAGTTGCAAGCAGTACGAATCTGGTGGGATCGCCTCAACGAGAGTGGTCCATCATACGGCTATTTCCTCAACCCGACCAAGTCTGTTCTCCTTGTCAAGCCACAGTTTCTGGATGAGGCCACCAGCATATTTGCTGGAACTGGAATTGACATCCGCACAGATGGATGTCGGCATCTGGGAGCCGCGCTTGGCTCAGCAGAATTCTCCCGCTGCTTTATGGAGCGCAAGGTTCAATCCTGGGTAGAGGAGGTGATGTCGCTCAGCACTATTGCTTCGTCACAGCCCCAAGCTGCATATGCAGCGTTTGTTCACGGCCTGCGAAGCAAATGGTCCTTCCTGTCTCGAGTCATGGCTGACCTACATTTGTACATGCAGCCGTTGGAGGATTCCATCAGAAACAAGTTCATCCCCGCTCTTTTAGGTGGCAGAACCGTCAACGATGATGAGCGACAGCTTCTGGCTCTGCCTTGTCGACATGGTGGTCTGGGGCTCATCACACCTGCCTCCCTCGGGGCCCAGTACGCCCACTCCAAGACCATCGTTGGCCCCCTGGTGCGGCGCATTCAGCAGCAGACTGCCACGCTTGGCGATGCCCTGCAGGAAGTGCAGAAGAACAAGCAGCTGTTGAGAGCGAAGGCAAAGACATCACTCCAAGCCGAGGCCGTCGCTCTGCATTCTGCCGCACCTCCAGAGGTTCAACGTACCATCGACCTTGCTTCGGAGTGGGGGGGGCATCCAGCTGGCTCACCTGCCGGCCCCTAAAGGCCCACGGCTTCACCCTCACGAAGGCTGAGTTCCGCGATGCTGTGCACCTCCGGTATGGCTGGCACCCAGTACGACTGCCAACATCATGTTCCTGTGGACAGCAGTTCACCGTCAGCCATGCCCTCTCCTGCCCGTTAGGCGGTTTCCCAACCCTCCGCCACAACGAGGTACGCGACGTGACAGCTCGCCTTGCGAAGCGTGTTGGCCACCAGGTGGCTATTGAGCCACATTTGCAGCCACTCACTGGAGAGCAGCTCCGGTACCGTACTGCTGTGGGCGACGACCAAGCCCGCCTTGACGTGGTGGCTAGTGGTATTTGGGGAGGGCGGTTCGAGCGCACCTACATTGATGTCCGGGTGTTTAACCCTTTTGCGTCCTCGAATCGCCTCAACTCACTTGCTGCTAGCTACACCCGTCACGAAAAAGCCAAGCGCCGTGCCTATGAGCAGAGAATCCGAGAAGTGGAACACTCCAGCTTTGTTCCCGCCGTGTTCTCCACTACGGGAGGCATGGGGAAATCTGCCACCTCTCTGTACAAGAGGATAGCGTCCCTCATCGCCGACAAGACCGGGGAGGCCTACAGTGCCGTGATGGCTTCGATCCGGTGTCAAATCAGCTTTGCCTTGGTCCGATCCAGTGTGATGTGCCTGAGGGGTGCTAGGCGGCTCTATGCACCGGTCTTTGCCGCGGACTCAGCTGCTCTTGTTGTTGCCGAGGCGGCTATCCCCTGTTGAGGTTGATGGCCGTGCTCATTTATAGTATTATACCATGTTCTCATAATTTCTGCTTTTCGTGTCATTCTTGCTTCTTGTGTTTGTTTGTTCTCCTCTAGTTCTCTTATGTTCGCGGAGAAGGCGGAGAGTCGGAACACAGTACCTCTTATTTTTAATTTTTTTTTAATTACTTACTTTTTTTACCAGGCGTGGGCCATCCCCTGATCATAGGTGCCAAACATTTTTAGTATTATGCATACGACTCCCTGACTCCCTGATTTGGAAAGAAATAGGGAGACGAGGAGGAAATTAAATTAGAATAGACGCCGATTAGGTGATAGGATGCGTCAGCATAAACATACTTTGGAAGAGAGATCCCGTCGTCTCCAAAATAAGCGTGAACGAGCGATTCAGTGCCGGTCACAGGAAACGTCGGAAGAGAGATCCCGTCGACTCCAGAACGCCCGTGATCGGTAGAGTCCGGCGGTCCCAGGCAACGTCAGGACAGAAATCCCGTTGAGTCCAGAACGCCCGTGATCGGCAGAGTCTAACCCGGTGCCAGGAAACGTCAGGACAGACATCCCGTCGAGTCCAGAACGCCCGTGATCGGCAGAGTCAGCGCCGGTCCCAGTAAACGTCAGGACAGACATCCCGTCGACGCGCAGAAAAACTAAATCTGCAGCCTCTTTTGCCGTCGAACAGGATACGTATTTATATAGGAGACTGTAAAGTTATGTAATGTCCAAATTTCGACGTGAGCAGCAGGTCACTCGCGTTGATTTTTTTCGACGTGCGAGCCAAATAACGCGAGCTGAACTTTCGCGTCGCAGACATCCCGTCGACGCGCAGAAAAACTAAATCTGCAGCCTCTTTTGCCGTCGGACAGGATACGTATTTTAGGAGACTGTAAAGTTATGTAATGTGCTCCACAGGCAACCATGCATTCGGCGTCGTCATTGGCTCAACAGGTCAATGATTATGTACATGTATTACTACAAAAAGGCCAGAAAATCCGATATCTGTATTAAAATCAACTAATGTTCGCTGGCGATTTAATTTCGCTGATTTCGCCGCTTGGTACCAACCGGCCAAAGTAAATCGCAGGCCAACGTTTGTCATATAGGCAAATGATGCATGATTGAGCAATGGATGCATGTGAGAGCAAAAATACCGATCGATTTCAAATTTGACGTGAAACTGCGCGTCACGTCGGAAATAACGTGCATCTTAACCTCTCTAATCGAGAGGTTTCTATTTCTCTTCGGCCAAAATTTGTTGATTTACAATATAAGGAGATAAAAATTAAAGAAGGAGCAAAACAAAAGTAGATGATTATTAGAGAAATAACAATCCGCAATAAATTCTGCAAATACTTTTGCCTAACTCATAATATTCAAACCGATTGAAACGTTTTTGCAATACAGTGATGTGGCCAACCAACGGAAAAAGACAATTCCATCAGTTCTGATAACATGTACGATGAGCTAGGCAAAAAAGCATAAAAGCATAGCGTAGGGCCCTGAGCTTCCAAGCTCTCTCGTCATCAATGGAAACCTGTCTCTTTCTAAGAGAACGTTTTGCTTGGGCCACTTCAAGGGGCCATAACCCATCCAAAGTGCCCAAATACATACCCTAATTAATTTTATTCCCGTAGCTATGCAGAAGACGTTACTTCAGTAACGTCTGGCGCTAGCCAGGGTCCACACAGCTTTAATTTGGTGTTTGTTTGTTTGTTTGTTTGCTTGTGTCATGCCTGGCGCTATCCCGTATCTGTCCCGTACCGTACCATACCATACCAGCAAAGACAGCTGGCCATAATATTTTTGTTTGTTTGTGCCATCGGCATGCCTGGCGCTATCCCGTACCTGTCCCGTACCATCAAGAGAATGAGTATATATGCGAAGTGTATCGGGGGAATGCATTCAGGCCGATAGTGCTGCAACATTTTGTGTGGATTTGTGTGCGAGGCCGAGATCCCACTAGCAGGCTTGGTAGGCCGCCTGTCGACCAGCTCGGGAATCGCATGTAGGCCGATAGCATTATAATTATAACGTATATAGATGTATACAGTCAGACCTCGCTTAACCGCACACATCTGTTTTCCATAAAAATATCCGGATAGGCGAGGGAACCGGATAACTGAACACACATACTGGATATGTATGTGACATGTCAAAAGCAGTGGCATCGTACATACATGTAGACGGGTCCTATGCCGTACAACTAGCGTGCACAGTATGTAAAACAAGCGAGAAAAATGACAAGTGCATGCAACTGAGTGCTATCCGCATGCATCCAGCAGGTCAAGGACCTCATTTGCTTGTACAACTCCCTGATTCCTGCTTCTGCAACCGGATACGACAAAGCTTTTTGTACACATTTTAACCAGTTTGTACACAAAATCATGCACCGGCATGCGGATCGCGAGGTCCGGTTATGTTGTATGCATAACATATGCTGCACATCGGTAACCAGCGATTTTCTTCCGGATGGCGAGGGATCCGGATAAACGAGGACCGGATAAGCGAGGTCTGACTGTGGCAGGGAGTCGTATTATGTAAACGACTCCCTGCTGTATAGGGAGATTTTCTGGAAAGAAATACGAAGTAGGGAGACGAGGAAATGCAATTAGAATGGACGTTAGTTGCCGAATAGGTGACAGGATGCGTGAGCAAAAACATACTTTGGAAGAGAGATCCCGTCGTCTCCAAAATAATCCTGAACGGGCGAGTCAGCGCCGGTCACAGGAAACGTCGGAAGAGAGATCCCGTCGACTCCAGACCGTCCGTGATCGGCAGAGTCGGCGCCGGTCAACAGGAAACGGCAGGACAGACATCCCGTCGACTCCAGAACGCGCGTGATCGGCAGAAACGAGACAGGTACGGGATAGCGCCAGGCATGCCGATGGCACAAACAAACAAAAATATTGTGGCCAGCTGTTTGTGGCCATCTGTCTTTGATGGTACGGTACGGTACGGGACAAATACGGGATAGCGCCAGGCGTGACACAAAAAAATAAATAAATAAACCAGTTAATAAAAAATAAACACAAACTATTAATCCCGTAGCTATGCAACAGACGTTACTTCAGTATCGTTTAGCGCTAGCCTGGGTCCACACAGCTTTGACACGTTACATGCATGATGAGCAAGCAAAAAAGCATAGCGTAGGGCCCTGAGCTTCCAAGCTCTCTCGTTGATTTTCCCATTCTGGACACCTCTAGCATGGCAAAATAGGTGTCAAACTGGTGAACCTGTAGCGAAAAATGCACTGATTCCAATGGTGAAGGTCCCAGGTTGCTCGGAGCAGCCGTTCCAGAGTTATACCAGCTTGAAGTTTGCACTAAATTTGGTGACATCATGATAGACTTTGTATGGGAGTAGATAGGGAAATTTCAGTATTTTGGCTCTCCATTGTCGCAAAGAAGTCGGATCTTTTTCAAACTTCGGTATGGTATATATGGCACCCTACCGGTATACCGACTGTTCAGGCTCCGGTCATGCAGGATGCGCTGAAGACCACCAAAGGCCCCTGCACCCTTTCCTAGACAGCTCCGAATGCTCCGAATGTCCGCTTGCGATCGCGAGTCCGGAGTGATGGTGGAACCAAGATAGGGGAATGAGGTGACTGCTTCAACCCTATCACTGCCAATGACCAAATCAGAGCAATCAGCAGGGCAAACTCCGAAACCTGCGACGAGAAGCTTGGCCTTGGTCATGCTCACTGTAAGACCCAAGCTGGATGCGACCTCACAAAAGGCACACAGGGATTGATCGGCTGCGTTGCAAGTTGTAGCGAGCAGTACGGCATCATCCGCAAACTCAAAGTCATCAGTTTCTCTGACGTCATAAATCCGGCCTAGTCTGGACATGTAAAAAATTGATCAATGTCTATTGGTTGGAGAGCAAGGAAGCGGCGAGAGAGCACATCCAGGAGGAGACAGGCAGTAGAGATGTCTTCACAGCACAAGCGACCTCTCAAAACCATGAAATGGCCTTCTCGCCACCTCTTTATCATACAAAAACAATGCTGTGAAATGTGAAACACAGTGTGCCGAACCACAACTATACCACTTTCACAAAGTCGCGACGTCATTTCATTTTTACACGCATACGGTGCATAGAAAATATTAAAAAATAGAAGAAAAGGCCGACTGATTGGTTTTCTTGGCCATGTTCCCTGAAAGAAAGGACTTTTAGGAGCGGCCCCATAGAAAGCAGAATACATGTACCATTTCTGGTCTTGCCAGCCGAAGATAGTGAGTAGTAGCAGCAACAGAACTAACCAAGATTTCTGGCATTGTGTGATTCAGCACAGACACACGTGGCAACAAGTAGCAGAGGAACCAGAGTGCAGCCAACAGCCAGACCACCACGCGAACCAGACCTAGACCAACAACGGGGAATCAACAACAATATTACAGTGCATATCACGTATAGGGTTGGCGGCTATTAATACAGTCAGTATCGCCTATAGCGCTGGTCTTTGATTTCGAGCATTATATCACTATATTAAGCGATATATTACTACGACCGATACTGCATGTACTGTATGCGAGTGGGGTATCAAAAGACTCAGTGTGCTGTGCACATACACACTGCATAGTTGGTTGCAGCGTACGTCCTGTGTACTCCTACTTTGAGAAATGCACCCTATCATGCCTATGCAGCCAAGGCTCCTGACACACATCGTCAGCATATCCTCACAATGGAGGTATTTTGGACAACTAATACTACAGGTAGAACCCATGAAACAACATCGAACAAAATTTTCACAAAGAAGTAACTTCCTGTACGTCTCTGACACCACTTGATTCCACATCAATTACTTTAGCCAATGCAAAAATAATGTACAGTTGCGCTCGGTGAAATCCGGCCCGAAGTGCAAAGCCGGCGCCGCGAAGCCAGCTCCCATTACATCACTGGCGATTTGTGTGTATGAACTCAACTGTACGCACCTCGTGTAAAAGTTCGGAGTGCACGTGTTGCATGCTAAAAACAGTTCAAAATTTCTTTCATTCACTTCACTCAAGCACAGCAGGATCTTCTCGATAGCGGAGTACCCAACATCCTGTTTCAACCTCCCTGCTCGCCGGACATGAATCCAAACGAGAATGTGTGCGCTCTTCTCAAGAGAATAATTCCACATCGCTGCGAGAATGCTGACCAGCTGGTGCAGGCACTGCACCTGGCGTGGGACTCGTTGGGTCCTGACACGGTTTCCCCATACGTGGAGTCAATGTCACGTCGTGTTGAAGCCCTAATCGAAGCTGACGGTGGCCACACAAAATATTGAAGCCCTGCTGTTCTGTGTATGAAATAAACTGCTTCGAAACGATCTCCGTCTTCTTTACTTGTGCTGAACTGAAATGAATGTTACACTTGTCTTTGTTTGGCGCGGTTTTTAAACTTTGGTGTAAGCATGCATGCGTATGAGTACAGCACATGCACAGTTCATACGGCACACGCGCACACTAGCACTTGTACAACTTTGAGGGCGTCAAGGGCCGCATCAGTACTGGGCGCCAGTTATGCACTTCGGGCCGGATTTCACCGAGCGCAACTGTAGTAGAGGTCTTTTGAAAGTTGAATTTGATCACTATAGGCAATATAATTATTACTATAGACGAGTATTACTATAACTTTAATAGGTATGGCAATTGAAAATGAATTTTAGAAGTTGATCACTATAGCCGCCAACCTTATAGGCGATACATACTGTATACCGGCTACAGTGATCCATTTTTCAAATTCAAATTTATTTGCCATAGCTAAGTATAGAGTTTGCTCCCTACACTGGAGCTCGCGCTATTCCGCCGGCTTGACTTGACACTTGACTGACTCACGACTGCCATCCGGAGCACACGAGAAGTCCATCGAACCTTCGACTCGGCAAACCTGCAAGAAAGCACCACTCATTGCTCAATACACAGTGTTTCGGGGAATTCACCCCTCACCAGTTGAGCTTGAGTAGGCTGAGGAAGATAGTGCTTGAAGAGCATCACTTATGTAGAGCTCTCCAAGCCCAAACATCACCAGGGATACAAAATTACAGAGACGCTCCGTTTCCAGCGCGACAAACACCTCGTGAACACCAGGAAGCAGCGTGAGTCAGTGTCGCTCCTGGACCGAGTGGTGTTAGAGGAGAATAGGAAATGACCTTTTTCAGAAGAAACGCCCAGCGATGTTTACAAGCAGCAACAGCAGGAACAGCAGCAATAACAATAACAGTAGCAGTAGCAGCAAGGATAACAACAGCAGCTGCAGCAGCAACAACAGCAACTGCATGAGTAAAGGAAGGAAAACAGAAATACCCTACCAAAGGGCGTATGGCTACACATTTCTTTTGCTTACCTGAACGGCTTGTTCCATCGATGGAAAAAATACTCAGAAAATGTTGAAAGGACGATAGTTCCAATTGGCACTGTGTCATAACATGCATAGCAGGAAAATGGAATAACAAGACAATGTTATATTCCTAAAAATACGTTCCCCATACGTTCATTGTGTACTGAAAAGTTAACATAGTGTGTTCAGGAATTTCGTTTTATTTATCCCTAATCAGTTACGCCTAAGTAAGCTGATGAAATTCGTGCTCCAAAACATTACGACAGGGCCAGTGGTACAAACTTACAGAGGCATTCCGTTTCCAGCACAACAAACACCGTGCGAACTCCCGACGGCAGTGTGAGTGTTGGCCGTGGAGAACAAGCACTGAGGACCCTTGGTCATTCACAACGCGTCAGCTACAAACCAGTTAGTCACTTCCTGTGCCAGGCAAAACAGTATTTAATAGTGTGTGCTTGGGGAGAACTAGAACTGTAGGGTTCTCGGAGCAATATGAGCCTACTCGGCCTGCTCAAGCTCCAATGGTGAGGGGTGCACTTCCAAGTTCCAACCCAATAATATTCAGCAAGGAGAGATGCTTTCTGCCAGTTACGCCAAGTCGAGGGTTCAATGGATTTTTCAGGGTGCCATCAATATACTATAAAGTGGAAAAATTTCGCTAGAGATTACATTTTCGCGACCATCGCACATGTTTCTAAGGACTCACAGACTCCATTGCAGCCATTTACACATTGGGGTCACTCAACTCAAACACGGTCTCTCTGCTGCATGCGTCACTTGAAATGTTCACCAAATTTTCGGGCCTGGCCCATCATCAGGTTGAAACAGAAAACTAATGCAAACAAACAATGAATTGAGTAGATGTGCACTGAGGTGCTGTAGGAAAGTGATAAGAGGGCAAGAATGTGCAAGAAAATTTAATGTGTGTATATGTGGGGAGTAGCAGCGCTGGTGAAAGGTGGTTGGAGAGAGGGAGCGAAGTGGAGAGCTGTGTCTCTGTGTGTGTGTGAATGTGTTTAGTGCGACCTAGAAAAAAATGCATGCCATAGCTGGAGCCATACATGTGAAGACAAAGATGAAGATAATTTTGTTGTGCTAGACTGTGACATTCCACACTATAACGTTCGGTGTACATGTGTGCTAAAGCCTAGTCCACATTCGACGGGCGCGACGGGACGCGACGTAAGGATCGACGGGAAGCAACGGGACAGTCTGACTGCGTCCAATGCGAACGCCAGGAACGGGAACGCAACCATACTGCCGTACGGATCGGGAAGAGTTGGATCAGTTCAACTTTTCACACCGTAGACGGGGACGCAAGCGTACAAAACCGCTGCATTTTGAGTGTGAACGGGAGACGGCGGCGTGCGCCTACTACTCCCGATTCGTACTTGGAAATGTTTAGCATCTGGAACACTGCGCTTCCCATGATAACTCGCAGAATGGTTAACACGACTTAGTTGAGTTATAGCAAGATAAGGCCTGATGTCACTTATGGTATTTACTATTTTAGGGATAGTTCAGGAGCGTTACTGTTTTATCATTTCCTGGAGCTATTATTTGAATGGCACATCTTTCGTACGTTTTGGTCTTCATGAAAAAATGGTATCGTGAACTTGATTCCGCTTCATTCAAGGAGAAATAACTGAAAAGAAGTCCCAAAAAATAAGAAATTAGGTCCAAAAGTCACCGTGCCTTATGACTCGCGCCGTTCGCTGTTGAACGACACAACGACTGCAGCATGTCGTGTCGTACGAATCGTACAAGATTGTACAGCTCATCCCAGCCTTCCCGACAGGCCCTTACGCCCCGTACCGTCAGCGTTCCGTCGAATGTGAACTAGGCTTAACTGGTTGCGCCGTACTTAGAAAAAAATATGTCCATCTTTGTCTTCACACGTATGGCTCCAGCTACAACTACATACATTCTTTTCCTGGGCCGCACTAACACATTCACACACGATGCACGCACACACACCCACACACACACACAGCTCTTGAAGCTGCCATCAAGGGATTCTACGCTGATGCAAGGAAACGCAACTAGTAATTATCACTCAGAAGCAAGCTTCTTTTCGGCGAGAGCAGCCATTCACCGTCATATTATGACGGGAGCGAAGACATGATAATATCAATATTATTATTATTATATCATCCCTTCACTCCGATTTGAACATTTACAGTTGTCGCACTGTGCTAGTTTTTACGTCTTCACGTCTCGCATTTTCTTTTCCACTGTTCTCACATCCTGGTCACAATGCAACCAACCCCCAAGCCCTTGCACCCTTATTGTAATTGTAATCAAAATGTGTGACCTTCGATCAGCCCTGCATTGTAGCATATTTCGAGGCTATATTGTGATGTGTTTTCCCTTGTGCACTATTCGACGTAGATTCACTGATGATTATCGAAGAAAAACGTTTCTAAATCTTATAATTAAAGAAAAGAGAGGACCATAAGTTTACAAGTTATCCGTTTTGTCCAACGCTAACTTTTTTTAAATTTTAATCCTTGGCTCTCCATCCGAGTCTAAATCTTATAATATATATTTTCATTGTTCCATCCTGCTACTATGTCGGCACCAAGAGTATTATTTATACCTATCTTAGCTCGCTCTTCATGGTTCATCATGCTATTATGTCGGCACCAATAGTATTTATAGCTATCTTAGCTGGCTCTTGATGTTTGGTTAAAGGCGTGTTTGACACTGTGTCCACTCAAAATTGGTTGTGGTAAAGTTGGATTTTTGTATGAAATGCAACCCAGGCTGCATGTTGTAACAACACTCGAAAACCCACTCGCCTTGTATGGGACTTCTGCTTATCGCAGGCCCCTGACAATTGGTGTGCTAAAAGAAGATGACCGTAGTGTCCCCTCGGCAAAGATTACGAGTCGAATACAAGCACAGAGCATGAAATTATGGGTAGTCGGAATTAGGATACATGGTTGGCCTTCGAGCATCCGGGTCTACCATCAAGTGGACCTACAGTGCGTTTCAAAAGTACGGACCTCTGGGTTTTAAAAAAAACATTAGGCCAGCATCTATACAGGTGGAATCCTGATAATACGAATATGGCTGAATTAGAACATACCGCTTAATTAGAAGTTCTAAAAACGATTCCCGGGCCCTCCCGCACCAAAATCGAGCCAAAGCCAAATTTTTTTAACAGTTCATAATACAGTCATGTGCAGTACTGATCGTGTCAGTAGATCTGTGACCTGGAGTCACACAAACCGGGTTAACCCGGGCTTGTACGACTCCTTGATTTCGGCCATTGTTGGCCGAAATACAGAAAAATTGAACGGGTAAACCGCGTACCTGTTTTCTGTATTTTAAAAAAATGAATAAAAAAAATTATCAGATACTGTAAAAAAAGTTCAGCATGGCATGCATACATACATACATACATAGGAAAAAATTAAAAAAATTAAAAATTCGCCCGCCCACGCCCCAATTTCACATGGGTACCGGGTCCTGCCCGGGAATCTCGATTTTATTTTGGTCTCGCCTAATTAGAAGTTTTTTCCTGGCATTTTGAGGTTCGAATTATCACCATTCCACCTGTACCACATAAAATCTGTGATCACTTTGTACGTAGAAATTCCAAAATTGGGCGTTATCCATTTGCTTAGAAATCTACTGTATTTGACGGAGAACAGTGTGCATTTTAGATGCACTATTTCAGACTCTCTATGCTCCGAATATGGGCATGCATGCACTACGAATGCATTAACCTGTTGCGAAGCTTGCCACCTCTGAACCGGCACAAGCCACGTGCATGCATTTGTAGTGTCTATTGCCAGCTACACTGAAAGTGCATGATGGGTATGAGACCCCGTAGGTACTACCGGTAGTACTAGAACGTATATTATTTTTATGATAATTGCATCCATGGTCGCACTATAATACTGTCTTTATAATCGATAATATACTGTAATTTCACAAATTTTCGGTGTACTTTTATTTTCGGTACTTTCGGTGCGTCTGTTTCACACCTAAAATTTCAATACACCGAACAAACACTAACACACATACTCCAATAGGGAACTGCTTCTCTGTACCGAAAATTTCTGTTCACCTAACCTAGCCTGTTGCCCTCATACCGAAAATACTGAGCACCGAAAATTTCAGAAATTAGAGTACTCAAATCTAGGCTGCGCATTATACTCCGAATATACTTTGAATTGCTGAAACTAGGCATATGCGGATAATGCCGGCAGAAAAATTGGCAGAATTCGGTACTTTTTCTGGTAAGTTTCATGCATGTTTGGTATGTGGATAAAGAAATGAAGCAGAATTCGAGGAATTGCCCGCCATAAGGTTTGTATGGTTCTGCCAATTTCACTGCTTTTCGAGCAGAATCTGCCACCTTTTCGAGCATTATCCGCACACCCCTAGCTGAAACGTTAGTCAAAAAAGGGGGTGCAGGCAAATACGGTATACATGTACTGTGAAAGCAGAAATTTTCGGTGGTGTAATATTTTCGGTATTCTCCAAAATCGGCGGTTCGGTAGAGGGAAATTTTCGGTAAAACCCGTTCTCTAGGTAAGTGTGCTAGTACTACACGTATACAGTATCGGTTGTACCGAAATTTTCGGTGCGTTTTATTTTCGGTAAAAATTGTCGGCACCAAAGTTACCGAAAATAAAACACCACCGAAAATTTCTGCTTTTACAGTACAAGTACAGTGCGTATCGGTTATAGCGTGGTCGTGTAAAAGAATATACTGCCTACAAGAATGAACGCTCATGTTTTCAAAATCATAACATGGATTTCATGTGCACATTTATTCTTACAAGCAATTTTATCCCATAGTAGAATATATCGGTCCTAAGAATGGACTTTGTGTCGCGAAACATGCCAGATTAGTACAAAGTGTATCGCCTGTAGTAATTACATCTGTCCATTTCCGTTCTGATCTGACTCTCGTTGCGTCGTAGTGCTGCAGATTCAACTGTTGTGGTCATGTAACTCTTGTTGCATAGCCACATGGTAAGCCTATGGGACTCTGGTCAGCCACATGCACAGAAGTACTGCGTTGCATGTACGATGATCTTCCTGCCCATGCGCACATGCATATGATATGCCACACTTGATTTATCGTGTGTAAGAAATATCGGAAATAAGAATAGAAAGTCGTTTTTCAAACACCCACGCTATAACCGATACCTACTGTACAGGTCGTCCCCCGTTAATACGAGTCCGGTTAGTACATAAACCCCGTTAGTACATAAGAAATCTCAAGTCCTGGACGAAACGTGGTCACTTCCATACAAATTTTGTCGGTTAGTACATAATTCGTTAGTACATAAACCCCGTTAGTACATAACATTTCTCCGTACCCGCATGTCATCTACCTCAATAGTACATAATTTGTTGGTCTTTTGGCCTTCCAGTGGAGGCACATCATGTTCTAGTTTCTATTTGTGGACGCAATTAACTCAGAAACCAGAGCGCACATCACAAACCGGCAAAGCTCTGTTTTTTTCCGAGTGACTGTACAGGCGCGGCTGGGCATGTATCATGTAAACTGTATAATCTTCGCTAACTGTGACCGTTATAACATAATTTTTATGTTATATCAAGGGAATCAAGAATATCTCGCTGCCTAGTCGAGGTAGCAAGAAACACTCAGAAAAGTTGAAAAAAGTGAAAAATTCCGGTACACAAGCAAGTTATGTACACTTTCGTTTAGTACATAAACCCCGTTAATACATAACATTTGTCAAGTCCCAGAGATTATGTATCAACGAGGGACGACCTGTATAAGGAAATTGGGCGTTTGTTATCCCATCGCTAAGAAACGTAAATGAGAAAATTGGGGAGACTGCTTGAGTAATAAGGACGTTCAGCAACGCGAAAGTTCGAAAGAAAATTTAAGTCTGGGAATGAGTACAGAAACAAAGCTCGAAACTTCGAAAACTTTGACGTGAAGTTGCAGTGATTTGCGAAAGTAACTTTCTCTTTTCTCGGTACGCATTTGAATACAGGGAGTAGTAATTTTACAGCTTGAGACTGAGCTGCATATACGGTACGGCACTCAGGGTTCTAGCCAAAGGGGGTAGGGGGGGCGCAGCGCCCCCCTACTCTGTTTGCTCGCCCCCCTACTCATTTTCCGATTTTCGTGTTTTTCATGCATAGATGGTTCATAAAGGCACATTTGTCTGGGGTGAAGTCAGGGATTCGCCCCATATACGTTGCATTTGGCGTGGCAAGACAATATTGGACAGTGGAAAAATGGGATATAGGGTAACTGTTTCCCATGCCCACCCCCCCCCCCCCCCCCACCCCCCCCCCACCCCTACTATTTTGACCAGGCTAGAACCCTGGTACTATACCGGTAAGAGTCAAATAACTTAGAGAAAAAGTCATTTCGGATTGCTTAGGGTGCGTTTGGCTGGTACGATCTAGAACAGGATCGAACAGCTGGTGCACATGGAGCAGCCTCATATCATGCCAACCAAACGGTACTCCAGAAACAGAGCACATTTTTGTGGAAAAATGTGCCAAACTTGGTGCATTCTTCAAAATGTGTATGGGTCACCATGGTCACTTTGTACGGTACAACGAGTCCAACCCAAAAGCGTATGCACGTGATCATTTGGGACCAAAATCGATGTTCCCGCCAGGTTTCACTGTGAAAAAGTGAAACTGCTCGGTCTGCTCCGGCCTCGAGGCCGGAGCAAGCAGAACATGTTCTGGCCGACCCAGAACAGGTGCAGTCCCAACCAAACGCGTTGTTCTGGTGAATCCCGTTCTAGTTCGTACCAACCAAACGCGCCCTAAACCTCCCAGGGTTTCCTTTTTCGAAATAGATTTTCGCGAAATATCACCACCACCAAAAGTTCGAAACATCCTTAATAGGGACGTTTAGCAATGCAAAAATTCGAACTTTTGGTGGTGGCGATATTTCGCGAAAATCTATTTCGAAAAAGAAAACTTGTGAGGTTTAGCAATGCGAAACGACTTTTTCTCGAAGCTATTTGAATCTTATAGTACCGTACAGTATATGCAGCTCAGTCTCAAGGGGGGCTGTAAAATTACTACTCCCTGTAGTCAAATGCGTACCGAGAAAAGAGAAAGTTACTTTCGCAAATCACTGCAACTTCGCGTCCAAGTGTTCGAAGTTTCGACCTTTGTTTCTGTACTCATTCCCAGACTCGAATTTTCTTTTGAACTTTCACGTTGCTAAACGTCCTTAAGGCCATCATTTTTTATATCTATGTTTCGCGTCGTCTGCACGCATACGTTTTGATTTTTTTCGGAAAAAAAAATCGAACATGCACGGTGAGTGTACAATCGCACGATCCAGTACGAGTCATCAGTGTGGACTGGTTGCACACGGCGAAGCTGAGATTCAGAAATGGCCTTGAGGCCAGCGTTCGTAAATCGTCTGTTCGGCATCTGCGAGCAGTATTCTATGAGCTTACACTAGGGGTGAAACGATTAGTTCGAATATTCGAGTATTCGTTCGAAAATCTCAAACGAGCGAGTATTCGAAATTTTGCACTCGATCGTTTTTTTTTTTTTTTTTTTTTTTTTTTTTTGGTACTGGCATTCTATTTGTCAAAAACTCCTGTTGTACTGCTCATCGACTGGTACATGGTATGCATGCATTATTCGTGCCTTTGAGTCAGTATTTTATGACTTGGACGATGCGATCACCACGGCAAGTAACGTTATTTTGTTTTGAGATAATGAAAGTACTGGTGAAAATCGTTATTTTACACTCTGTACAAGACGTTGGCGACTTTTGTTCTATGTTCACAGATAATTTCTTCCGAATTGGTCGAGAACTCACAAATCTAGCGCTTTTGAATTTCGATAAAATACTCGAAATAATCGGATACTCGATCGAATATTATGAATGAGTGATCGGTTGGTCAAAATAGATACTCGTTTCACCCCTAGCTTACACCAGACCGCATCGATTGCCTCAAGCTGAGAGGATGCGTCGTTCCGGAGCTCTTTGCACCGCTGCTGAAGTCTGAGTACAATAATCCAGCGAAGTATGGGCACCAACGGTTGCCTCCTCTGTCCAAAGTGAATATTTACTCATGCTCAAAAAAAACCAAACTTTGTCCTTCGATGCACGACTTTTCTTTCGAATGTACAGCATGAACGAGCTACTGTGCTATGTACAGTTCTAGCTAATTCTATACTCTTCTGATGAGATTTATTTATTATTTTGCAACTTTTTATTTTTTCCACGTCTCGCATATGATTCTGGAAGTTGAACTGACGCGAAACATAGATATAAAAAATGATGGCCTAATATCCCGAAGAAATTTCTCAAAAAGCTCAAATCAAATTTGAATTATTTGAAAAAGTCCAGAGGTCAATACTTTTGAAACGCACTGTAAACATGTTTGTCTGTTTTTTAATATTAAAAAGGATTCCCCAACGGCTAAACGCCTATCTAGGGGGTCTCCAGTTTTATAATTATTTCGACTCTCAGCCTGTTGTGACATCACACCCTCGTTCCCCGAAGCCTTATGAGTATGAAGCAGAACGATGAATGAATGAAGGGATATTTCAACATACCAGAAATAAGAAATACCGATGTCACCATTCGGTTACGTAGCAGAAATCCTGCTATAAGTGACGAAAGAGAAGCAAGGCGAACTTCCACATTGTGAGAACCACTCTGCTGAAGCCAGTTGCGTGCAGCTTGTTTCATGATTGAAACTCATCAATAAAGAGTAGAATCTTACGCACCATAAAGAATGCCTTTAGACAACCGGCTTTTTCACACGACAAATACAAAATTCTCAAAATGTATTCCAGAAACTGCTGGCCACAAACATCTACTAGTACATATGAAGCTCTTCACTCATCTCAGCTTAGACAAAGTGCCTTTGCAAACGACACTAAACTCCATCAAACTATTAGTTACAGAACGAAGATGAAAGCTCGCTGATTCTTGAACAAGTACGTTTGTTGAGTCGAGTACGATTTATAGATGCCCTGTGCATGTGCCTGACTGCCTGTGTCAAAATAATTGACACAATCATGACGTCGGCACATTTCAAAAGATCAAAGAGTACATTTTCGCTACTCTCTTTCGCAACAAAAAAAAACAACAACAAAGAAATCCTCCCCCCATCGATCCTAGCCCGATATGCACTCACTGTCGTACATAGTCTGTAGTTGTCATCTCGATCCTGCATGGTAATTTTGAAAAAGTGTCCTTCGTTATGGAAAGCAAGTCCTCACTGGATGCTGCTGGTGAACTCTCTGGAGTGATCGAACAAAATGTACCCGCCTATGAGCAGCGCCTTGCTGCTGTGGAGCGAAAGGTATACGGGCATAACCAGCCACGATCAGCAAAGCAGAAATTTTCGTGTGCGGAACGGCTGGTCTCCATTGATTCTCGGATGAAAACTGCTACAAAGGCCAATAGAGATAATATTCGGGCAGCCTGGTCTCAGTTGGAGGACCTGGATCATTGGATGAAATCAGTGCAGTCGCAGAATCTGCCAGAGTCCGCAAAAAGTGATGTAATCTTGGCCCAAGAGGCATCCATTCTGGAAACTGCCAGTAATCTCAGTTCTGTGATTGAGCTGAAGAACGTGATTAGTTCTGAGCCCTTAGCCAATGTAGGAGAGCTATCAGCGAAGGTGAAGCCGTTGCTTCCTGTGCATCTGCAGCAGCTGGAGCAATGTACAGACCTACAAGGAGGTGTTCGGCAGCTTCTGGAAGCGTATAATGTCATGCTCGGTCTCCTCTCGGATCAATTTGTTGCACTGAATGAAGTGGTCAGTGAACTAGAAAGCCGAAAACAAGAAAAACAATCATCCTAACCACGAAATTGGACTCAACAACATCCAGGCTTAACCATAGCTTATGTTGAATTAAGGTGTACAGCGATACACAATTGCAGCACTGCTGATGATGTGAAGTTGTCCTCAGTGAATGCCAACGAAGGAATCACATGGGTTATTAGCTGTAGCTAGTTCTACACCATGCGGCATAGTGTATGGAGTTCTTACAAGAGATGTGCCTGGGCAGCTCAGGCTAGGTGCTATCGTACACACTGACTGTACATAACGTCTCTCATTTTGTGAGACCCTTGTCACATCGTGCGACCGATCACTGCTGGTACATCTAGTCTGCACGGTGAAAATATGTGCATACTATTAAAGTTTCTTTATTTTCTACTTGTGTCTCTAAGTTACTAAGCTAAGCTGGTCTTCTCTGCTCCCTGATCATACTTAGTATCACGTTACGAATATTTTTTAAGCTTTATTCAGGAATAATTTGTCTATCCTTTCACCTTCAATAATTATCACGTTTCTTTTTGTACAGTGCTGACAGGAATCCTTATTCCTGGCATGCAACTTGTATATTAGTTCTTCCCTGCTGTGGTTTTAGTCAATATTATGACTGTGTGTCTTATTTGCTGCTGCTGCTGCCTCTTATGCTGATCTATTCATTTGTAAAGGCTTGTTGATCAAGCACTTTACCTGCTTTCAATTGCAAAACTGTGTCGTTCATTTTGGGACAAATGTTGGACCACTGTATTGTGTATTCAGTTACATTGTATAAATCTGTACAGTGCCCGACCAGGCAAGCCCGATATTATGGTCTAAGATAATGATTGGGAAGGGAAATGTTCAAGCCCTGCTTGCAAGCAGAATGATTTTTCCAAGCCATGCTGTGGCCCACTAAAATGAGAACTATAACTAGCAATGCATGCGTGGATGGAACAAATGGGGATTGAGCACACTAAGATCGAGGCGCATCACCTTGCTGTTAAAATAAACGTAAAATTGAGTTATGGCAGCTGCCTGTTCCGGCACGAGTACTAGTGATGTGGCTTTTGTTATTGATTTGTTATGTATTTTGTTTTTCAAAGCACAGCGCCAATGCAATGCACACCGCTCTTGTGAAAGATGAAATCTGAAAAAAAACTGCTCCAGTCTAAGCAACACCAAAATACTGTTTCGCCACTGCAGTATGTGACCTGACCGCATTCAGTCATCACTGAACATTTTTTTGATTTTGATTTTATTTTAGGGATTGTCCAAAGGCTGACATGCATTGTTCAGCTGTTGCACACACTCTTGACTTTTACATTATCACCGGTACATGTATAGTGTAGCTGCTCCAGAGATTGAGAACCAATACCTAGACTAGAGTATGCATACCCCGACAAAGAGTTGCTCTTGTTCAGTCACGATTACTGCATACACGCCTCTAACAACATCATGGGTCTGCATTCCCTCACTATCCTCACATTCTACACACAACGCAGTCTTTACCGTCTAGCTTCCTGCATGATGAACTCTGTCTGCACCGCGGCACTGCATGGTATTCTGCTGACTCTCACCCACTCCGGCACCACTCGATCCTTCACCCAAGAGTTCAGTTCTAATATTGTAGTTCTGCTAGCCAGTTCTGCTAGCCAGTTCCTCCTTTCGTCGTACCGGTAGATTCAACATACAGTTAGCTAAGGCTTCGTAAAACTTGAACTACCTGTTTTGATTGCGTATTCTCCTACTAAGAACATGCATGCACTATGATGGTCATACTCAGCCTACAATTATAGTTGAACATTACAACCACCATTGTCTACTTGTCTACTCTTTCTTCACCCATGCAACAGCACAAGAGCACAGTGAGGAATGCTAGCAACATACTTTTCATCAATGTATTTGAAAAGAAGGAACTTGTATAGAGGGAAACACTACACAAAAGCCGGGGGGGGGGGGCAATAGGAAGAGAGGAAGATACATCTGGTCAAAACACGAAAGTACAACAGTGAATGCAAAATAACAAAGGCGTACCACTAGGCTACACAACGACACTTCATTTCAAAAAACATGCGAGGTCCGACTCTATATCAATGCTCGTGGCGAGTTCAAAGTATTAGGATTATATTTTCAGGAAAAAAGTAGTGATTCTCAAGCACTCCACAAGGCCAATTGGAACATGAAAAGAGCCCATGAACCTTCAGAGTTGAGCCAGTTCTGATACTGGTTTTTCTCTTGGACGTATATTTTTAGCATAATATTCATTCATCTCCACAAGTTATCTAGAGTGCCACATCAATAGGTAAGACTGAGCAGTTCCTGTAGCAATACTGGTTGTTGCAGGACTGTAGTTGACTGGAATGACAGAGTAGAAAAGTTGAATTTTTCACTAGTATTGCCCTTGCATTATTAATTAACTTGAAGGGAGAGAGGACGGCCAGCGGTCAAATGGAAGAAGGACAGTGCAAATGGAGCAGCAGAAAAGCTAGGACAAGTCAAGCGCTGGACAGAGACACAGAGGACGGAATGGCGCGACATTGTTTGTCACGGGCCGGCAACCCGAATGGGTTGATGGTGATGATGCTGATTTCTGGAATTATTTACAAGACTAAATTAAGATGCTTGACAGAATGGTTTAGCTGAGCATGAGAGGTTGATACGAGCACTGCGTGATCAGATACAATGCCGCCGCCAGCACTGGTATTCAGTAGGGACAACGAGTAGGAGGTGATGTTCAGATGGTGAGTAATACTCACATACTCGCTGTCCCTTGCCAGCTTTCCAATGCCGTGTACTGGATCGGTGCTGGTTTCCAGCTGTGTAGCAGTGGTTCTATTGGTTTCAGTGCAGCACTCGCGTGCCGATGATGATGACTCGTCCACATAATGCAGCAGGGTCCGGGAATGAACTGTTATTGCAAACCACAAACATGAAAGCACACTGTATATAAGTAACAAACAGCAAAGTCACAAATACCATTATATTCTGCCAAACACTCATTCATCAAAAAACGATTTTGTCGAATACTCACTGATCTGCAAAAAGTACAGTCATGTCCTTTTTGCAGGTACACTGTATGACTATTATGTTGCAGCTCTCCTCTTCCCCTGTTAGGTGATGGCTAGCACAGCATAACCCTCTACTAACAAGGTAGTATGGTCACCATCAGAACTGTGAATCATGTCTTTTGCATAAGGACATGGACCAGATCTATCCAGATCTATTGACATCCCTCTAATATTCCCATTTCAAATGGCCCTTTCAAATATTCTTGCAGGGCTAGTAGCATTCTGGTCTACTATATAACATGTTGTTTTTCTCGCCGGCCGAGCGCAGCGTAACTAAACTTTTTCGTTTCGTGAAATTATCGATAATGCCGGATGGCCCCTAACGAATGTAGCGAAATTGAATTCAAAATGAAACTGTGTACAGTGAAACCCGTCTAAGACGACCGCTCAAGGGACCTTCAAAATGCGGTCTCTGTCACCAGGTGGTCTCCTTATCCAGGGTCGTTTGACTGGAAATAGCATCCCTTGGTCCTGGTTACAGTGGTCTTCTGGGCAGGTGGTCGCCTTATCCGAGTGGTCGCCTTGACAGGTTTTACTGTACTTATACAGTAGCAAAGTACGAATACATGCTTGGTACACTGTACATGCTTGCAGCAGCAGGTAACTGGTTATTATGAAAACTTGTGAACACCGGACCGGGTACATGTAGTAATAGCTTCAACTGTTCAAGTAGTCAGTCACATGTAGTTTATCCGCTATCCACTGGACTATGCCATGGCTTGACTTCACGAAGCGTCATCCGCGCCATTCCCTGCTTCCACCAGCGCTTTTGAGTTTCGACGGTCATACTCGCCAATTTTCTTTTGAACAAGGTGCCCACTCCTACCGTTATTAACGGGTTGGAGATCTTGAGTCCTGCTTTTTGACAAAATATCTTCATGACTGTATTTTTTCGTTTGTTTACCATGTTGTCTTCGCAAACAGCTGCCCAGTCCGCACTGTGACCAAGGTAACAGACGTTCTACGATCTCATAGTTCACCCGGCGCGGCCATGTTCTCATGCTGACTTTCGAAGACAGAGCTCCGAACTCGTCGATGACAAGACGAGTCTTGTCAAGTGGCGTGAAGTGGTGCAACGGGTGTTCTCAAACCGGAAAGGGCGACGCTCGCCAGTACGCGGTCCCTGGCTACCGTCCTAACTTACACTCCGCTGTACCAGAAATTTGCCATCGTCGAACGATGCGCAGCACTGTCATTCCAGTGGCCACCAGAATACTCGAGGCACAAAAGACTTTTTGATTCTGCAAACAAACCAAGAAGACACTACGATCGGGGACAAAGATTCTTCGTATGCGAGACGAGATTCGCCACGTTAGCACTGAGCATGAGCTGCGATCATTGCGCTTTGTTGCAGTGTGCTCCAAAAAGAAGAAAAAAAGCCACAAATGCTGTGACGACCTTGCTTCTTGCCAAACATTTCGTTGAGATAATTATAGGACATGCAGCAGGGAGACCACCTGCTTTAGTGATGTAGGGTTTCTATGAAGTGGCTGCAGTGGTGCTTGCGCACCTTAAAAAAAAGAAAGACATCAAGATACCTCCCCCGGGTAATCTCAGATAGTTTTAATTAAATCTCTCTAATTGGTCATAGGGAAGGGTTTGCTCCCCACATTAATCAGTCGTATTTTCTTTTTTTTTAAGGCGGCATTGGAAAAAGGCCAAACTCTTATTTCTCAGGGTGTCAAAGAACTCCTCTACTAGCACCAAAGCGATGAATGAATACGTAGAAGAGAACACATCCTTTGTGCTCAAATACCCTAGCAGAAAGCACAGTCATGTTGAAATGGTGGCTAGGATCGATTGCACTCCAAAACAAGCAACCGTCCCACTCTATCCCCCCCCCCCCCCCATTCTAGCATACAAGAGCAATTCCAGACTGTTTTGTGCTGAACTTCAGTAAGGGCCTGGAAACACACAGAAATAATAGATGCAGCCAATATAATAAGATAGAATACTAGTACAGGGTTCTAGCCAAAGGAGGGTAGGGGCCAAAATTCGGGATACTTGGCAGGTATGGGGTTAGGAGTAACTGTTTCCCCTGCCCCCCCCCCCCCTCACTAGTTTTACCTGGCTAGAACCCTGGAATAACAAGTCACCGTCTCTTACATTTCACAGGGCCATAGTCAAATTGTTCGGCAGGCGAACTAGAGACGGCGGCATAAGAGGAAGTGTCCTGCTCTGTCAGTGGGTCTAATCCGGCAGCCAATGCTTTCTCAGCAGAGTGAAGGCGATAGTCGGACACAGAAGCCATGTGGTTGTTGTTGTTGTTGAAGTTGTTGTTGCTGCTGCTGGTGTCCGCCACTGCCAGCATCAGATGATTGGCTTCCCAAGGTAATGGGAGATTGTGTGTGGTCCAAAGTGGAATAGCAAGAGCGAACACCACCGCAAACAGCTGGAGAGCAGAACCCAAGGTCGAGAGAGGCAAACGGATGCAATAAAATTACCCAAAATCTGAAACAAAGAATATTCATGTTTCACTCACACTCTTCAAGTAATACGCATGCACCACTATTTCTATACCCACACTTCTTAGACTAGCATGTCCATTTTGTCACTATGCAGTGCATACTATAGAAACACATGCTAATGGTTTGTTGTGGGCTGTGCTGTTTTCACCTGAAGAATTTATTCTATTCAAGTAACTTAGTTGTTGCCCTAGGTAGTGACTTCAGTTCCTCTAACCCAGACCCTGATTCTGTTGAAACAAGTACTTCTGACGGGAGAATCCGAAATCGCAGTGCTTTTCGGCGCGGCCAGGTCAAATTCTAGAATATCGCATCGAGTGTATTGCTTTGTCGGAGAGAGGAGATATTCGTGCCCTTGAGACCTGAAGTCCTGTTTCCATACGACAAATTTTAGGTGCTCTGCGCTCAACGCTTCTTCAGGGGTTGAATTTCGGCTTGTTCTGGGCGGGTCGCAGCATTGCAGACTATGCCACCGTCTTCAGGGTCAAAAAATTACCGGCTATGAGAAATTTTGAGGTAGTTAGACGCTTTTGTCTTCCCCAATGAGCAATTTTGTTTTGCGCCAGCATACCAAAGTATGCCATACCGTGTGCACGCTGTACGCGCAGTCTGCGTGACAATGCTTTGTACATGTGCACTGTACACTGTACTGTACTATGCAGTCGTGTTGAAATTTTCTCGATTCTCCCCGGGCATCACTCCCATTCATTTCTGTTTCCAGCAAAAGTCCAAATTGGCACACTTCAAATCACCATAACTCTAGAATGGCTGGGCGGATTAGAATACACTGAGTACTTGCAGATTTCCTATGCTACATCCTGGAGAATTGAATGAGACCAAAATCGGAGCGATTGGAGCAAGTTTGAAAATGACTGAAGTCACTACATTACACACACAAGGAGGTGTAAAGCCTCCCTGTGTTTGACTATAATATTATAATATTATTGGTTGATGTGGTTTCTCCCCATTATATGATGAACTTCCACTGATCATTGTCACAAGAAAACGCTTTGGAAGCCAATACCTCTGTTCTACATTTTTATGACCAGTATGACTACCCAATCGATTAAAAACCCCTTGCTATTCATGTCTCAGTCGTGTGAAATATTCCCTCGTCCCTAACCATTGCCAAAAGTACCAAAATGTCTCCTCGCTGCGTGACAAGAAAACAAAGTTTCCTAAAAACGGTCAAATTTGAGTTCTAACAAAAGCTTTCCATGACAACTTTTGCAGCAGGTCGGCACCAAGCTCCAGCCGCAGCTTGGTATTTTAGCGAACACGGACACAGACATACACACCACATACATACACCACACACGCATGTGCACACACACACACACACACACACACACACACACACACACACACACACTCTCTCTCTCTCTCTCTCTCACACACACACACACACACACACACACACACATACACACATACACACACGCACACACAGCTCGTCACATGCTGTCCTATGAACATCTAAGTGGCCACAAGTACAACTTTGTCAGCCTTACCAGTACTGGGATATGAGAAGTTGACGATGGCGCTTTCATCAAACGAGATGGTGATTGTAGCAGTGGCTCAGGTACTGTAAATTGCTTCCGTAGTTCTGTTGTTTCCCGATATAGGGAGCTAGATGCGGCAATACCAAAGGAACAGAAGACAGGGTTCACAATATTTCAACATGGTTCATAAAATAAGATACCTGTTGGTGCTGAACAGAGAGCACAGTCCTTCTATTTTCCATGCTTGGCAAAGAGCATTACATTTAGCATATGATATTTTAAAGAAACCATGGAACCACGGCTGAGGGTTCTATGTGCACCCATGTGTCCCCGATTGACTTCCCTACACCATATACATTCTGCTTACCTATTTTGCTTTTCCAGTGTTGCAACACGCTCCATGAGTTGTTTGTTGAAGTCAGTACATACAGCTAGCCTGGAAACAAGTGACATTGGAGAGCAGCACAGTTGAGCAGTCGTAACATTTCATCCTGGTTGATACAACTGCTGATGGTTTTAGAATAAAGTGAACAGATGCATAATGAAGCTTGGTTGGTGATGTCAATGTGAACAAGCAAAATAATAATAATAATATGCATAATGAGAATAGACAAGCACATGCTTGTACAAACACACACACACACATACATACACACCTTCCTTCCTTCCTTGTACCACTGCCGTGTCCGGCTATGTGCCCCCCCCCCCCCTCCCAAAGGGGCAGACTCGGGTTTGTGCTGTCCATCAGAGCGCCCGATGGGAGTGTCTTATTGCGTTACATTTGTGGTGACTCTCATCCTGCAGTCGACGAAAACTACAGTGGCATGCCGGGCATTGGAACGGCTTCGTTACCGGTTGAGTCCTGATGTTGACAATGTGCTCAACCCCGTCACGGCACCTCAGCCGCCATTCTTCCCTGTCCCGGGCGATGTCAGTGAACTCTTCAACTGGAATGCCAGTGGAGGTAAGCTCAGCCTTTGCAACATCCTTCCACCACTTCCTGGGGCCATGAGGCGGGCGCTTAGGTAGCAGGGCGCCATACATCAGCTGCAGCGGAATACGATTCCCCAACTACTGAACGTGTCCCGCCCACCCGAGTTACTGCCGACCAGCCCGCAGCCTGCATTCCACTGCGGCGACACTACTACTACTACTACTTGCTGCATGACTAGTACTAGTACTACTACTAAAGCCTCTTGTACGGGCAAAATAAATAGATCGTGAAATCAATAGTGATGAAAACAGCAACGCAAAGAAAAGAGAAAGCAGAACACAATGTCAATCGTCCGTCTAACCAGCCAGGATAGTTAGAGCACATTAAACTTTAAGTACACCAAGACAGCATGGACGTACAACAGCAAATCAGTTGTGCACATAACGTTACCATCATAAGGACCACTTCATGCTCTAGACATCATCCGGCAATCATTCACAATACTACTACTACTACTACTACTACTACTAGCTGCATGACTGCCCAGATGGGCAAGTGTCACCCCTATGAAAAGGGGACCAGAAAACGGGAGTCGGATCACAAGCAGGACCGCCGATGTCTGGATAGGTCCTGCTGCCGGCGGAAATGGCGTTTACACTGTGGGAAGCTGAGGGGCAGAGTTGCTCTCTCAGCAGCTGATAGTCTCGCACCACGATTGCAGTTGTGACGCTTGAACCCGGCCGCAGAACGGAAGCATCGCCGGTATGTTAGGCAGTGCTGCTGGCAACAAATTGAAAGTGGAACAGGCAGACTGACTGTTGGTGTAGGGAACTCGTGACTGGCTGACATCAATGGCCAGAGTACCCACCCTTGCTACGGAACCACCTCTGGCAGTTCTGGCACTGAACTGACGCACGCTGGAGCTGGATGGGAAGCTGTCTCTGATTGGTGCACTTGTGTCGCGTCCTATCGGAGACCCGTGAAAGGTTCTGGTCACACACTGCGCAGAGCACAGACTTGGGCATGGTGGAGCGTGACTGGGGAGGGGGCAACTGTGAGTGGTCCTGGGCAATGGTGAACCACTGAGATGGCTGCTGCAGTGCAAAGTTGAGGTCGCTCATCACCGTGTCCTTCCACCGTGGCCAGGGTCCGCAAAATGGCCGAGGCACAGGTAGCCACCCAAAGAGGAGTGGGGGAGGGGGGGGGGGGGGGGGGGGGTGCGATCTTCATTCATATGCGCAACGTATGGATGCACACCCACTCCCACACCTCAGACCTCAGACATGCCCATCGCGGAAGCGATCATAGCGAACAGCTATGTTAGACATAGCAACTTGTGCTGGGATTACACCATTCAACTACTTGCAAGGCTGATGAATTGACCGCTGTAGTGTTCACACATACATATATGGACTGCCACACGCATATATGAACACAGCGCCGTTTGTACTCCTATCCATTTACATAGGCCGCTTTCCACACCTGTGCTGACAGTCGGTACGCACCGACTCTGTACTCATGCACGCACACCATTACATTCTGTTGCCATCATATTGCGGGGCTTTCCGGAGCTCCGAGTTAGTTGTTGTTTGGAATAAAGTAAGAGACCAACATTACATTGGCGCTGCGAGCAAACGCCTGATCCTCGCCATGTCCCTGCTGCCACTACATACAGCAGTCTCTACGACGCTGCCGCCCGTTTTCCTGCTTGGGAACGGAGTTTCCGACTCTAGGTCACAGCAGCCGGCATCTCGGACGACTCTCGCCAGAGAGACACTTTCCAGTATGTGGCTGGCAAGGACATCCAGCAGCTCGTCCCTACATTAGCCGACACTGGCGACGATCTGGACGATCGCCTATCCGCCGTCGCCGAATACTTCCAGTCGAAGCAGAGCCCCAGCATGGCCCGCTTCCACTTCCGTCAGGTCACCCAGCAGCCTGGCGAAACGTTCGACACTTTCTATACTCATGTGCTGGCATCGGCAACGACCTGCAGCTTCGCCGACGACGACCAGAAGAACGTGGCTCTCTGTGATCAAATTGTGGCAGGATGCACGTCCGATCCACTCCGCAGAAAACTGCTGGAGACTGCGGCCCTTGATCTCGACAAGGCATTACAACCGCCACTATTCTCTAGCCTGGTATCCACCACACAGCTGATTGAAGTGGCCACACCCACACACACACACCCACAGACACAGACACACAGACACATATACACACACACACACCTGGCCTGGTGTACAGTTGCCAAATGCTTGGTCACGCCGCCCCCGAGACAGGGGAGAGTAGAAGAGAGAGTTCGAGAGAAGTCAGCACTGCCACTAGGACACACACACACACACACACACACACACACACACACACAAGGAGACCTTGAAATTGGATGGTTGTCCGATTCAACAATCCTGTATCCATGTTAGAGACTTACTGCTTCTCTAAGGTGCCAATGTACTCCTTGCGCTTGCGTCGGCTTTCCTGGGCAGAAATCTGTACAAAAAAACAACAAATCAGCCAACAACTTGAACTCAGCATCGGATCCTCAGGATCACCACTAGTAGTAAGCCAACAGGACTGGTTAGCACTTCTACGGATAAGTAAGTTGTATGTTGTGCTCTGTAAAGGATACTCCAGATGAAGATTACCTAGTTATGAGGGAGACGGCACTAAACTATTGTTCCTCGGTAATGACAGCTTGCATGCCGTCCTACTGGTAGCATCGTAGGTCCTACCGGTAGGAACCAAGGAATTGCACTGCAAACGTGCTTTTGGTGAATAATCTTCTTGAAACAATTGTCGAGATGAAATCTTTATAAGGCAAAGCAATGGCGCAAAAGTGCAAGACTATGTCCAGTGCATTGCATATGTGCAATTTTATCAATTGTCAAAATGGCCGGACATGTTCCTGTCGGAGCGCTAGCAACTCTGTCCAAAGCGAATTTTGACCATGGCAGGACTCGAACCAGGGACCTTCGCTTGAGGCCAGTGATGCTCTAACCACTGAGCTATGGTGTAGCTGTCATCCCAGCAGAGACGGTTCAACACTTTCTTCAGACTTCGAAATGGAAAGTCTGCAATATTATTAAACACAATATACAGCAGGGAGTCGTGGTTTGGGTACAACTCTCTGATGCACAGCACAGCAAGTACTGTACAGTAGACTGTTGTGCGGCCGAAAACGTTGTTTCCAAAGCCGGTTAGCCTGGGGCGTTCATATTTTCCAGCAATCTGGCTGCGTTCTTATAGCACATTCTTAGAAACCATCTGTACTGAATCGTTATGTATCCCACAACCTGCCAGAGAACCAACACCGAGTATTTCAGGCTGGACGTTCTTCAGCGCGCGTCTCTACTGTATGGCATCATAACGTACAGCCGCTGTACATGGAAGAATTGCACACTGGTTGGTGATGATGGTGAGGGAGGGCATGGTACCATGGCACATCGATCGTGGTGAGCACCTAATGTTTTTCTTAGTCTACCATGGCAGTGGAATGCAAATTCAGTACTCCATTTCCATGGTAACCATGGGCTGTTGCTGTGGAATTTCGTAATATGCCTTGTGGACTCCTTCATTAGCCCTTAGCAACAGTTTTGGGTCGGGTCAAGTTCTAGGTCAATGTTAGAACAGAGGCCGTGCAGCATGTCTGTGTGAACTTCCTCGTAGTGGCGCCTTGATCCTTGAGGGCGGTGGCGTTCCTACGGATGTGGAAAACTCGGCCTTTAGCTGAGTCTCATGCGAACCGTGAATGTTTCCTGGATACAGTGTAAAGCCTAAGGGGAATTATCGTCTTGGGACAAACCGTTGCAATGACCCCAATGTCATGATCCTCTACGAGGAGCAATGCTCGCAGGGTTTGTTGTGGCATTACTCACATTAGTACCTTAGCATGCATTATATAGCAACTTTATCCGGGAGAAAGGCTTGCAACTGATCCCCGCCGTACAAAAATCAACGCAGTTTTACGGAAATAGAACTCGAGGGAGCACTGTTTATGAACAACAACAAAAGATACCAACCTTGTTCTTAATCTTGCGCCGCACATGTTTGATTGCCTTTTCCTCTTCCTGCAGGACCACACGAAAAGACAGGAAGCAAGCCATGCAACTTAATTAATACAAGAATACAGACTGATGAAATTCATGTACTATAATCAGCCTAGGTGATACTGTAAATCGTGATTCCAGATCATGTAATGTTAGTTTGTCACCAGGATCAGTACCAGTTGCATGATCATGTACTGAGATGCAACTGGTCTTCAATCTGTACACAAATCCTACTGCTTTGTCCAATGTATGTGTAACACGCACATGAGCCTGAAACAATCGTATCTACTTGTCAACCTGCCTGAACCTGCCAGACTAACAACTCAACCATGGCCAGGCCCGATCAAGCTCCTGAGGGGTGGTGGCCGCACCAGCCGTACCAGTGGCGCCGACCCTGATGGCACATCCAAACCTTCAAAGTTACAGTATGCAAGCACCTGATTCAAAATGACTGGCTCTGGTCCACGAAGTACCTGTAGGCACAGGTTGTTTGTTATACACGCACTGTGTGCAACTACCCTGTCTCTACTACCCTGTCTCTACTACCCTGTCTCTACTACCCTGTCTCTACTACCCTGTCTCTACTACCCTGTCTCTACTACCCTGTCTCTACTACCCTGTCTCTACTACCCTGTCTCTACTACCCTGTCTCTACTACCCTGTCTCTACTACCCTGTCTCTACTACCCTGTCTCTACTACCCTGTCTCTACTACCCTGTCTCTACTACCAGGCTGTCTCTACTACCCTGTCTCTACTACCCTGTCTCTACTACCCTGTCTCTACTACCCTGTCTCTACTACCCTGTCTCTACTACCCTGTCTCTACTACCCTGTCTCTACTACCCTGTCTCTACTACCCTGTCTCTACTACCCTGTCTCTACTACCCTGTCTCTACTACCAGGCTGTCTCTACTACCCTGTCTCTACTACCAGGCTGTCTCTCGATACACAGTTCAAGTTACAAAAGGACACACTTCCACTCTCTGCTCAAATTATCGTCACGCTACATTTTCTCCTCTCCCACATCCTCTAAAATTACTCATATTCTCTGTTGTTTTCTCCCCTCCGGCGTCCTGGTCCTCCTCCTAGACACGTTTGACCAGCCATGAGTCTGAGACCAGTGGTCGGATGAGCCCTGCAAACCCCATCCATACTAGTGCCCATTATTGCCATGGCCAGCAATCGAGGACATCTGAGAGTTGTAATTTTTGTACTCCTCCGAGGTGTGATTTTTGGCGTGCTGGGCCAAGCACAAGGAAGCCATCTGCAAAAAAACTGCAGAAAATGGTTGTTGTTTGATCCTTTGGTGTAATCTTTGTTTCTAGTCGAAGCTAGTTGCTGTTTGGAGCAGAAACGCTGAAATTGACTATTTTCTGCATGTACTCATACATGTACTCATGTACTCAGTCATGGAGTCTCACTCGTATTTTAGCTCTTTTTCTGGAATGGATGCTGCTCTGCGCCCCTTGGTGAACATTTCCTGCGCTCGTGGAGCAGCTGAAAAGGACCACTGGTATGTCTGGTTCCTGGTTTGAAAGTGGAGAGTCGACTTTTGTGCCTTGAAAAAGGAGTAGAGAGCGATAAAGGTACGTCTGTGGCTTATTTTTGAGTGCTCCTCGTACATTTTTGATCGTGATAGAAATTCTCAGACCAAAGTCAGCGCGATGATGGCCGTACTGTTTTCTTGTGGATTTTTTAGTTGTTTCATCTCGTATCTATGTCAGTATCGTGATGGTGAAGTGGAGAGGGTGATTTTCTTCCTCTAGGCTTCGTTCGGCCGGCTTTGCTTCGTCCTCGTTGAAAAGTGATCCTGAAAAAAGGTCGATTTGCAAAATTATGTTGATTTTCAATGTACGTGATGACATGCGATTGCTGGCTATGCCTGCACACGTATGTTTCCTGTATTATGTTCATGCCCCCCCCCCCCCCCCCCCATCCATTATCTCCGTAGGGCAATGCACAACAAGTGTGTCTCCTGAAAAACAAAAAAAGAGCGGTACATGCATGAAGCGTCAAACTCAGACTTACCGGAGCTAAGGGCAAAGTAGTGGGGATAGGAAGACCCTCTGATTTCAGTACTGATATTTCTTCTGGAGTCAACTTCAGCTTACCATACTGCCAGCACTACACATGGAAACAGAGTAACAAAATGAAATGAATGTCAGTTTCTAAGGTTACTTTCGAATGAGACTGCAAACAACCGCCACTCTCATTAATCAAAAGGTCAAACCCTGCTACTTACCCTTCTGTATACGAACCCACTTTATTGCACTGTACTAGAAGCGCATGTAGTTAGTAGTTGCACCACTGGGTCTGTCAGAAAGTAGCCGAAAGTAATAGTCACCGTCACGGCCAGATCGCTAGTGTGTCACTAATCTCATTATTATTTTGCTAGTGTGTCACTATTAATCTCATTATTATTTTGCTAGTGTGTCACTAATCTCATTATTATTTTGCAGCAATCAAACGAGAAAACAAAAATAGATTAACACAAGTGCTCACGCATACACATACCCATCCATGAATACAGATTAAAAACAACACCGGCAGAAACAGTGAAGCACTAACCACAGCATTTGATATGAACGCTGTTGGTCCAGACAGGCGTTTGTCCTCGCGTTCTGCACAGTGCTTTGGTACCCGTGATGTGCTACCCATCACACTTTGGCCAGCACTTGCTACTGGATTATCGCCCTCCCGTCCCGGAGAGGTTGTTGCTGAGCTGGACAGGTCCTTGCCATTGACCAGAACACTAGTTCCTTGACCGGCAGAACATGGGCGAGAAAAGCTGTCACCCTCCAGACACGCATTTAATAGGGCAAGCTCAGCCGCATCGCGCTGGTCTTTACCCTGCAGGCTGGACCCAGAGCTTGCACTCAGCAAGGGAAACTGGTCGCTGACACTGTCGTTGTCCACAGGTGGTGGACAAGTTTCTATCACATGACTGGGTTGAAGAGGTGAGTCCACTGCTGGAGATCCAGCCGAACCATGAGATTTATACCCTACGGGAACAAAGAACAAGCCACAGAGAGCAAACGACAAAATTAATAACAAAAAAGTTCAAGTCATGGTAATGACTATCTCTTAGAAACCGTCACCAGCCGATCCTATAGGATTTGGTTTATGGCTAAAGGATTTCGATAAACAACCCATGCAAATTGATAAAATGAGTTTCATGAGGTGTTTGGAACTATTTTCCATACACTTCCGAAGGAATAATCCAAATTTCAAGCCGATCGGCCAATTTTCCGGATGACACTTCCGCCATAGTACGGTTAAAAGCACTAGATGTGCCAACCTGCGCCAGTACTCCTCAATCAATCACAGACATCTATTCATAGTATCTTTGTACAATAAAACCTGGTGTAAGCGACCTCTGGGTTTAGCGACCACCGTTTTTCCATGCACCGACAGTTCTACACAGACACTGTGGGACCTGGTTCTAAAGACCACCTGGCTTTCCCCGTCAGTTATATCATCATCGGCATCCATTACAACACTCTGGATAATACAAAACATTCAAATCCTATATATATGATCTGTTTGCGCTGATGAGTCCACAAAGGACGAAACAGTTCTGTCCGCAGATTGAAAATAGGATCTGTCAAAAAACTGACGTGTCCTCTCTAAAACGCCTCTATCAGCAAAGCCATAATACTGGCACTCTTGAAAACTTCTGAAGAGAGCCAACTGATGCTGCCCTAACACCTTACAATACAATTTCGGCACACAACTTATCCCGGGCGGAAGCATGATCATGATTATTGGAAAAAATTCAAAAATTCTATACATAGGATTTGACAGTTCAGAAATGTCTAAAGTGTCTTCAGTGCTGTTTGTTAGCTTACCATCATCCTCTAACTCTTCAGATCCAGCAGATCTGGTGGAATTCAGAGCATTCACCTCGAATCCATTCAGCAACAGTTCCAGGTCATTTTCAAGTGGAAACAATGAAGGTCCATTCAGATACGAATCAAATTCCTGGGACCAGTTTAAGACTCCCAGAAGCTGCAAAACACCACAGTAGAACACACACACACACACACACACACACACACACACACACACACACACACACACACACACACACACATGCGCGCGCGTGCACACACACAAACACGAAACTAACAGGGAGTACTCATTCCCCTCATTGGACTTTTCCTCACCTGAGCCTTCCAAGCTGGAAGGTTGTTGGTTTGCACGCCCTGGATGTGTTGGAGCTGGGTGTCAGGTCGTCAAATGTCTCCGTACTCCCTGTCAGTTTAGCCATGTTGTTGCACATGCTGATCGTATATGATCTGGTTACTTTGGTCGACAGTTAGTCATAACTCGGAACATGTTGTCCTTCTATTTTTATCCATTATAAAAAGAACATAATATAATTTTAACGATTTAACGAAGTTGGAGGCAGTCAAACTAATTTCGCAATCAATAACTTCGCATGCAACGATGCAAGTCCACACAATCAAGAAGGCACTTCCTTTCATCTATCAAATGATTTTTTTCTCTCTTGCCTATGTTGAAGGGTTGTCTCTTTCTTTCTTTCCTTTTTTTCCAAACTCTATCATGATAGTTAGTTACGTATCTTTCAAATTTTCCACCATTCCCTGTACTGTATTATCCTGAAGAGAAGGGAAAGAAACCGTTTGTTAGATGCTTCTTGATTGTGTGGACTTGCGTCGTCGCATGCGAAGTTATAGATTGTAAATGTTGAAGTCGTTTTGGGCAGAACCGATGCATACATATTACATACAGTCATTTACCGATTTTGACAACCAGAAGCCGCTAGCATTTCACCTCGCTAACCAACAAAAATCCAGAGATTGTTAAGTTTAACTCGGATACCGAGCCAATAATAAAATGTAAAGTACAAGAGAAAACTTAGGTACGAGTTTTGAAGTAACTGCCCACAACTGCAACAAGATAATACTGAGCAGTCAGAAAGTTCCGCGGATAACTGGGCACAAAAACTGACAGGCTACTGAGACATTTAACGACCTGACACCTGGCTCTAACACATCTCCAATGCGCAAACCAAAAACCTTCCAACTTGGAAAGTTCTAGCTAAGTTGGACCGAAGAGGAGAAGGTAAGTGCAGCGAAAATGTGCACAAGCTAAGTCCCAGGTCAACAAAGAATATGTATAGGATATTGCACGGTTCCGAGGGGATTATTTTTCAAATCCCCAAGGCGCGCAGCGCAGGGATTATGAAAAATAATCCTCGCGGACACTGTGCAATATCCTGTATAGACCACACTTTTCGGGTGATCAGCAGCGCTGCAGCATGAACCAGTGCACTGACTGTGAACGGAACACCGAACGCGAAGTACCGGTAGTTCTGATAATTATACAGTACTAGCACATTTGTTCGTCGCCTCTCCAGGTTTTGATCCACTTATTGGTTTGACTGAGGCGAATGCGGAATGTCACACACTTTCTTTGGTTTGTCTCCCAAGACGAAGCCTCGTGAACTCCACTGCTTGTTGGTAGCTGACAAGACCGTGGGGAAAAGCGATACTGATAGCGATCAAGTGAAGATGACGAAATAGTAGATATTGTAATTATTTGAAAATAATTTGAGGTGCTCTGTTCGTCTGTCACCTACTGGCGTGAAGGCGATCTATTCCCTACAAATCAAAGACTACAATGAAGAATTGTTAGACACTGACGTCCGTCCCATGGCTTAGTCAAATGGTGTAAGAGTATTCGAAATAAGATGGATTGTTTGTGATCGTGTGGAACACATTTGACAAGACCAGTAGAGCGTGGATGGGTACATCTACACGTACATGTAGAACCAATGACATTGAGTTAGTAGTAGGCTAACTGCTGCAAAGATTTATCTTTCAGGTCTGTGAAAGAAGGAATTTTCCAAATACTGTACTAGAAACCAAAGTTTGCATTGAACGGCGATGCTCATTACTATGCGTCTTTGTCATTTCGTTCAATGTTTCTATGACAACTCGTGTGCTGGACGAGCATTTGTTGTCATTGACTCAATTTCTTTTACTCCCCATAGGCTATTGCCTGTATTGGATTATTTTCCTTACTCGGTCTATTTATAACCAGTATCTATATGAGAGTGTGGTGTGTCTCTATGGCTACCGGTGTTCAGCACACCCGGTTCATGTAGTATGTTGCAAATTAAGATGCTCTTGTTTGTTGCTGATAGAAAGATTGCCACTTCCCTAGTTTTGTTTCGCCAATATGCTTTTCTTTTGACAACTATAGCCACTTCCCCTTTTTAGACCTTATCTGGAAGGCCCATTCTTGCATATTCAAGCAGAAGCCAAGGGAGTTTGCTTTCTTGGTTGTGCTGGTAGAAGGACTGGGTCCGACCCACGTCCGAGGGGATCCACAGGATTTCTTGTGGATATGAGATCCCCTCGTTTGAGGGGATTATGAGCCATAATCCCCTCAAACGAGGGGAGATATCCGTAGATCACCTGAAAAGGGTGGTCTATTTACCAGTCCTGGTGATGTCCTAGATAGGACATCACGGAACCCAGCATGCCCCAGCATACATACTATGCTGTTCCCATAGTAATCGTGACACGTGACTCAAAACTTTGTGTTGCGTCCGAGGAAGATGAACATGTCGCACTCAAAACAAACGCAACGAAGGCCTTTCGTCTCAAAAGTAAACAGTTTCCTCTGAGACAAAAATGCGATAATACTCATAAAAAGGACACACTTCAGGCTCATTACAAACATCTTGAAAGTTTTTTACTTGTGAAGACAAAAACTTTCAAGATGTTTGTAATGAGCCTGAAGTGTGTCCTTTTTATGAGTATTGTCTCAAAAGTAATTCTTAGTTGTCGTTCTCCTGGCGGCTTGCCTCAAGCGAGTCGAGATTCGTATCTTGCCTCTTACCTTCACGAATTTTATTTTCCTCGTTGTGGAGTACGCCTGGACAAAGGAACTGGCAAGCGAATCGTTTTGGTCACATTGAAAATTGCATGTGCACAAGAGGATTGGCGAAGCAATTTGTGTTCGCACTTTCAGCAGAGCAGTAGCTGCTGCTGCGATAAAGTTTTTACTTTCGCCATTGGCTTCAGGCAGCAGAAGGATCTGGCTGAAAGCGATGGTGATACGTCCATGACCACCACGTCCTGGGTTGATATCCAAGAAAGACCGTCCAAGGTCCAGTTTTAGCCAAGAGCTGTCGTATCCAAGAAATCCAAAACGCCAACAGTAAGCTTTGACCAAATAATATCTTCCAGGCAGTAATTTACGGGCCTAGCGCCTGCTGGCTCGTCTTCCTCCTCTGCATGGCCAGGTTTGGGGCGAAATGAACGCACGGGGCGTGAACATGGTGAAGAAACATTCCAAAGGCAAAATATTCAAAATTAGAACCAATCGTTTCCAAAGAAGCGCCGCGTGGCTACGAGAAACCCCACATGAAATCCCCAAACGAAAACGGCCATTCGGTCGGGTATTCGATGGAGAATCGAATATACACTACCTCAATCCCCGCCGATGTCTGATATTCTCCGCCTATTCCCTCAAACTTGACCAATTCGGAAAGAAATCCATCGCCATTACGATCGTGCATCCTCCACATACATTCAGAAATGCTCACGCAGCACTTCTTTTCATCGCGTGTGCGCGACCGACGCTTCCATGACAACTCTGGGACAGGTAAGCAATCAGACTCATTCCCGAGTGCGATGTCCTAGATAGGACATCTCCCCGACTGATTTACTGCTACACGAGACTTGACACTGCGGTCTAACTACAACTCTAACCAGAAAAGCAACACACCACCTAACTTCGGTGGGTCAGCAATATCAAAGATAAATACGGAAGGGGAAGTTTTGCGAAAACGAATTACAGTGGAACTCACTTAGTATGTACTCGAGTAAGACGTACACCTGCTTACTAGGGTCCTTTTTCGTCCCACGCATTTTCCTACCATAAGCACATGTACAAATGTGCACGGATATGACATACTCTGATAAGACGTGCAACTCCTGTATGACATACTTTTCAGCAGGTCGAGGTCCCGATATGACTAACCTCCCGTACTACGTACTATTTTGGTGTGTTCGTTCGTACACTTGTGTGTACCTTTCCTAACCTGAGCCTTCCAAGTTGGACGGTTGTTGGTTTGCGCCTTGTAGATGTGTTGGAGCTAAGTGTCAGGTTGTTGAATGTCTCAGCACTCCTAGTCGGTTGTGTGCCATGTTTTCGCACTAGCTGACTATAATATTATGATCTGGTTAAATGGTGGATAGCTAGTCATAACTCGTAAAACTTTTGTCCTTCCTTTTACCAATGGTCCCATGAACACTTAGCTTTTTCGAAGTATTTCTTGTCGTTCTTGATTCCATATGTGGCCTCACAGAGAAAGGGGAAGGCGGTGATACTTGGATTCAGATAAAATACAGGTCGTGTAGGCATGCTGAAAAATCAAAAAAGCTTATGTCAGTTATGATATCTGATGGCTCGTCTGGACAAACCCTCCGAGGCACAACACATTCGAAGTCAGCCAACCCGTAATCGATACAAAGACAAACCAAGCTTATTTCAAAGTGCTTTCGTTTTTCCCCCGAGACTTTATCCAAGGTTTCGTTTGCGTCCGAAATAACGTGTAATACAGTAGAATTCACTTGCTTTCACAAGTTTTGAATCCGTGTGACGTGACTAAACACAACATTGCAAACGTACTATATTTGACAAAAAAAGGCCAATGCTGTGCATTGTAGAAAGAGTATATACCGTACTCGCGCGATTAGAGCCCTCTCTTGAATAGTGCCCTATCTCGAATAGTGCCCTAGTCTCCAAGAGCCAGTGAAAAATAAAGCCCTCTCTTGAATAGTGCCCCCCCCCCCCCCCCCCCGTCTTGTAACCAAGCCCATGTGCAAGTTTGGTGTTCTTTTGCTAATGTTCTAGGCCATTGCTTTGCACTGGTGTTTTCAGGAACAAGATCGCAGGTCTTGTTCCCGTTTCTGTGGAGTCGTGAGCGTTTACAGTACACTTTAGGCTCTGTTTTTCTTTATTTTATGCTGGATGACGCAAATGTACCAGCAATGAAAAAAATAGTGCCCTCTCTTGAATACTGCCCCATCTGTGATGGACATTGAAAAAATAGTGCCCCAGGGGCACTAATCGCATGAGTACGGTAACCCCCCAAGAGTGTGCAACTCCTGATACCCTTGCTATGGGGTACGCGACGGCGAAAACTCACATCATGTGGTGCAGTGTGGCAGTTGTACGTTTCCAGCCCGTTTCTAGCGAGCAGCGGAGTAATAAAAAAAGCACTCTCTGACAGAAACTCACTGCGGGTATGAATCCCCAGGATGATCATGGCAGATATTCGGATTGTGTGCACGCTATCCTTCGTTTGTACGTAGTACCAGCGTATCTAAGACACGTGATGTGAGTTTTCGCCGTCGGAGACCCCATATGCAGCGTTGCACACTCTTGGGGGGTTATATACTTTTGATTGTAGTCGATTACCATGTGCAGCATTGGCCGGATTTTTGGGCGAGTATATCACGTGAGTCCACTGCATGAACTTTACGCGTATCCGTTACGCGTAACTAAATCTGCCTACTGTTCGTGTTGCACCGAATGTGAACAAGGCTTTATGTACCCCTTGGAAATCGTGCAAGGAGTTTGATTGTGACGTCTTCCGTACACATTCAATTCCGGGCAAAATGAGCGCTTTCAAGAGTACTTTTGGTGATTTTCTGATCTAGAACAGTGCAACACCATTCTTCCCACAGGCCCAGACACACTTTTTAAAACGCACTTCACCATCGTGCATCCTACAATGTAGTCAACATCAAGGTAGGTCGAAACGGTGTGCTCTTTTTTCAATGTGGACCACTAACCTCGTCAGTGTCACCATGATCACCATCCAGATTGGCCTGGAAGAAATCCAGAAAGTCACTCTTAGCTAGCAAGTCAACCTGTGTTGCCTGTGGCTGTATTACTGGCTTCATTCCACAGTAATCGTGATCGTGGTCGACCAATGTGCTACCAGTACCACTCGCTACTGCAGCTAGCGGCGTAAGGCTATTTCCTGAATCCATCACACCGACTAACCGTGCACGCTACCAACGGTCACAAACAAACTTGTACCTTCAATGTTCCCTGAACAAAGACGTGATAGCAGCGGTCCAAAAACTGAGTTACTTCAAAAGAAAACAACAGCAACCAGACAGTGAAGTCTCATCGAGGCACCGAACCAGCCCTACTAAAAATAGGTGAAGGACTCAGGTAGACTAGGCGCTAGGCTAGGCCCAGCTACTAGTCACGGTAGTATGGCCCTATCATGCGGCATGCCATGGCATGGGCTTGGAAGTGGGTTACGTAACTCGTTACCGATCGCACGCGCAGATCTGTGCAGGCTGGCAGAGACTGAGACTAGACTGTAGTCTGTAGTGTAGTGAGTAGAGTCGTCGAGAGTCGGAGGGTCGGAGCAGATCTACATCAGTACATGACTGTACAAGACTACGCGGCGTACTCCGGGTAGGCAGCGGAGCTCCGGAGGCAGCGTTGCAGGGATCGGGAACAGCCGTCAATCATACATGCATCGCACTGGTCTCGCGGCTTCGCACTCCCGACGCGGCGTGGGTCACCTAACAACTTGTGAAGTGGGGGCAGCAGATTAGCCTACAGCAGATGCTGTGTATGCTGTGTGTCATGACATTCGTCATTACACCACGCCACGTCTACCCACGTCAAAGAAACCGCATGCCACGTACCAGAAAGAAAGATGGCTACTTTTCGCGGATGCATGACCATGATGACTACAACATCTACATGGACTACAGACAGTACAGTACTGCTGTCAGTAGTCTACTAGTACTACATGACTGTAGTACTAGTATGAGTCTGACTACACGTACAAGAACAATGACATTATGTCAATGATTATGTCAATGCACTCATACATGTCATATTTATATTTATATTATTACAACATCTCAAGACTCGGTGGAAACACCGGCCAATGTGAAGAGAGTGGGTGATTGCCAACCACGGCGATAAATAAAAGTAAGGGGAGGGAAAAAGAAAGAGTAGCAAAATGAACAGCAACAACAACTCCGTAAAGAAAGATAATGTCTAATAAAAACAGTGAAAAACACAGAGACGCAAAGGACATGTGGAGAATGAGCTATTTATGTCGTAGTAAATAAGGGGCGGCACGGATCTTAAACAGGCGGAGTGAGGTCAGATCCTTAACTTCTCTGGGTAGAGTGAGCCAAACAGAATAAGCAATAAAGAGAGGGGAGCGCAAAAGAGTGGATGAGTTACACTTAGGGAGTAAGAGCGAGTTTCTAGTTCTTAGGGAAGAGAACCAATTAAAACACATGAGATGAGGTGGGCACAACTCGAGCTTAAAGGGGCATGGTCCTTGGTTGGGGGAAATGCTGAACGTCTGATTTGTCCCAACCAAGATTTCAGCATTTTGTTCGTCACTATTTTCGCTTGTCTGTTGGTGCCTCCGCACTCCAGCTGTCTCCTGTCGGTGTCACGTCCCAGTACACAACCGAGAGGACTACTAACAAACAGTTCACTGCACTAACAGCATTGAACACAGCCCTTCTTTCACTTCGTGAATACAATAAACCAATTGAAAATGACCAAATTCTGCAGTGATCGACCTTCTTTGTGCTGGAGCTAAGCCTTTCGTACGTCATCACTGCGCTGGTCGCTATGGCAACGTGAGTATACAATTGGCGATTTGGCAAGTTTGGCCTATCGTATGGAAGCGAGAGATATGCCATTCGAACCGATATCAAAATTGTCTTTCTTCTGGACCATACTCGAAAAATCGATGCACTTCCCCTTTAATGACAAGAGAAGCCAGGTGTGCACTGCGTCCATGTGATAGGCCTTGACGGATTATGCTAATATTTTCGTGAAATTATGCTTTTCGCATTGCTGAAAAAATTGCAGAATTATGCTATTTTTATGCTAAAAGTTATCATATTATGCCGCATTATGCTCACATATGCTGCTAATATATTATGTATTATGATGGTTCTGTGCAAAATGGCAGGGGAATTTTTTTGTAGAGGGCGTTGTACTGTAGTAGCAGAAGTTCAACGGGGTCAACGCACCGTCCGACCTAGCTACGACCGTCGCTGATTGTAGTGGACTGGACATGTTATCAAGGGAGTCGTAAACCTACGACTTCCTGGTACATCTACTGTCTTGTAGAACATGTACAACTGTTTGGAATTTGATGCGAACAGGCGGATTATTCCAATTTTATGCGATTCGTATGCATTTTGCCTCGACTTATGCGATTATTCGATTTTGGTAGGAATTATGCGAAAAATTATGCTAGCATAATCCGTCAAGGCCTACCATGTGATATGGCTAGTGCCAAGTTACAGTCCAACATAGATGGCGTTATTCATTGGATGGAAAAATGGAAATTGCAGCCCAACTCTTCGAAAACTGCTGTCATGTGTATCCCCCCAGTTGTTCCTGTGACCTATCTTCATTAGTAACCAGTCCCTTCACCTTTCCAGGCACCACAACCCCGCTCTGCATCGTTGAAAAACACAAGCATCTTGGCGTCATTATTGACCAACACTTAACCTGGAAATCCCAGATCGAAAATTTAGACAGCCGTGTTAACTCAGTAATGGGATTTCTCTCATCACACATCACCCACCTCCACACCGACTGTCGCCATGTTATCTACACATCTTACATTCTGCCTATTTTTGATTACTGCTGCATAATTTGGGCTGGCATTTCTAAAACACTGATTGCTCGACTCGAAGTTATGCATAGGCGTCTTTTGAAAATATTATTTCGGCTTCCTCGCCTGACTCCAAGCACAGACTTATACCGCCTTGCTTCTGCTGTGCCGCTCTCGGTCCGCGTGCGTTTTTTGGCATGCCAGACAATTCATAAAATTAAGCTGGGCATTGCTCCTCTTCATGCTCTCTCCTGCCTAAGCTGGTTTGCTCAATCTCAAGACATGCGCACCAGAAACTCTCTCCGCTTCCCTATTGCGCGGTCTGCCTCTATGCAAACATCTCCTCTCTTCCTTGCTTACCGCCATTGGTCTCTCCGCCCACAACATCTAAAATCCTGTCGATGTTACAATACATTCACACAGCTACTGCAGAATGCAACATACTAGTTGATATCCAGCCCTGCCCTAGCTTCTCTTACTTTTCAGTTCCCCTTTCATTATTTTTCTTTCTCCCCTCTAGCTCTATTACCGCCATGGCTGGCTATCGCCCACATCACCATTTTATTGGCTAGTGCCACGTGATTGTGAATAAATAAATAAATAACGGGGTTGTGTGAGCGATTTGCTATCAAGTATAGAGTATAAGAGTATATCAAGTATCGGCTATAGAGTGACCGGATATAAGAATATATCGGCTACAGTGATATTGGTACGAAATATCAAAAGCAAAATGTATTTTACGAAGTAGTGGCTGCGACTTCGGCGATGATTTGTAAGAAAGGGTTTGCTCCCCACACCGGAGCTCGCGCTATTCCGCCGACTTTACTTGACACTTGACTGACTCACGACTGCCATCCAGAGCACACGAGAAGTCCATCGAACCTTCGACTCGGCAAACCTGCAAGAAAGCACCACTCCCTGCTCAATACACAGTGTTTCGGGGAATTCACCCCTCATCAGTTGAGCTTGAGTAGGCTGAGGAAGATTGTGCCTGAAGAGCACCACTTATATACAGTAGTGCTCTCCAGGCATACACATCACCAGGGATACAAACTTACAGAGACGCTCCGTTTCCAGCGCGACAAACACCTCGTGAACACCAGATAGCAGGGAGTGGTGCTTTCTTGCAGGTTTGCCGAGTCGAAGGTTCGATGGACTTCTCGTGTGGTCTGGATGGCAGTCGTGAGTCAGTCAAGTGTCAAGTAAAGTCGGCGGAATAGCGCGAGCTCTGGTGTGGGGAGCAAAGTCAGCAAACCCTTTCTTACAAATCATCGCCGAAGTCGCAACCACTACTTCGTAGATCTACTGTTGTGCCCAGCGCGGGCTTGCGACTAGTTGGTTTGGAGGTGACAGCGTTGCGAATGACCGAGGGACCTCGACATCTGTCTCACCGTCCAGGTCTGATATTCAGGCTGCCGAGCCTGAGTTTGGACCTGACCCATGTCGTGTGTTTTTACGACTTCCATGGAAAGGTCAAATTTCGCTGGATGTGGCCCGCGCCGTGAGGACTGTTGTCAGACAAACCTATTTTGCCACAGCATTGACAACAGTCTTTACTACGGCCCGTGCGTTCACGGTGAAGAAGGATGTTCTTCCTACCCAACTGATTAGCCATGTGATCTATCATTTTGAATGTCGGCATTGTGATAGCCGATATGTAGGAAGAACCCTTCAGCACCTGAACGCACGCGTCAAACAACATGTACCATTGTACCTATTGTCAGATGGAGCCAAAGCCCAGCGACCTGGACGAGGCCGTCCCCGCAAACAGGTGCCAGTTGCACAATTACAACAGAACCACACAGTACCGGTTGAACGGACTACAAGTACACAGGTACGTGAGACTGAAGGAAATGGCCAAACACAGGTACGGAGACCAATAACTAGGAGCATGACTCGTACGCGGGTAATAGCATCTACAACCGGACATGGACTGGCAGCGAGCAGTAGCGTGGGATTGTCGTTGGGTGCAGAGGACGGGATGGAAGCGGAGGAGGATGAGGAAGGTGAGAGCAGTGATGAAGAGAGTGAGTTGGACAACCAAGATGAAGATGACCGGACTGAAGGTGAGACCACAACGAAAGGGTCAGCCATTAAGAAACACCTCTTGTCTAGTAGCCAATGCCGCTCAGTGTATGATGATTCATGCTTCACTGTTTTGTGTCGTGCTCGTAGGTTTCGTGAACTTAAGGTATTAGAAGCTGTTTTCATCCGTAAACACAATCCTAATCTATGCATTCAGAAAGAAAATGTCACAAAACTGAGACTCTTCACCTAGCATTCACACACGTATTCATTCGCATACACCTACACCTCACAGTTCCTCACTCTATCACATTCACCTGCTTCCACGCCTTCATTTCACTCACCTTTTGTAGTAGCTCACACCGTCAGAACACTCTCACATCTTTTCTTCTAATTTCTTTCGTCTTCTCTCCCACTTTAGTTTTTTTTCACACCTCACCTTGTATACTTCCCACTATCCATTAACCTATAAGTAGTTTGTTTCTCCGTATAGCCTCTATTGTGAGACGATTTTCCCTGATGATAGTCTCAAGA